ATGAATTAAAATTTATTTTAATGTTTTATTCATTTTTTACCAATTCCAATTAGCAACATTATTAATAAATTATTTCATTTTTCATTCACATTTTACATTAAAATTATTATTTTACTAGAAATTAATTAATTAGAATTGATTAAAAGCATTTTTTTTCCCATTACTTCTTTTACATTTTACCTTTTATTAACTGATAATATAGCATTTTCTCATTGTTTTGCCACAATTTAAGTCATTTTTAAACTTTTAATTTAATTTAATTTAATTTAATTCACTTCTTCTTTGCTTCATTTACTTTCTTCATATCTCTTAAACTGCTATACAAAGTTGACATTTAATTTAATTACTTTTTTATACCTTTTAACTGTCATAGAATTCTAATATCACTTACTTTCATTATTTTGCTAAGATATAAAAGTGGTGATAATTTAATATAGAAATATTAAATAAGTTTATAATTTAAATATGTTATGCTAAATTTTACTTCAAAACAAATTAATATGATTTATTCGAGTGTGAATTATTTCCACCTTTTTGCATTTCTATTAAGCTAACTCACAATATTATTGCATATTTCCGTTTTCGTTGTTATTTATAAAAATAATCATTTTTTTGTGAAAAATTTCCGTCTAATTCATTTCATATTTATCTTACCATTCTTCAATTATTTTATAAACATATTTATTTTATTTCTTTTTCTTCTTTCTTTTTTTTTTTTTTTGTAAAGAATTAAAATATGTCAATTGGTCAGTATATCACATTTATTTTGATATTCGTTTTCATATTTACATTAATACTAAAATTGTTTAAAGGTTCGATTAAATTTTGAAAAATTTTTTTTAAACTAATTAGTAGATGATTATATAATTATATACCAATCAATTAAATTATTTAATAACTAAATAAGATAATGGTCAGTAAAAATTTGCACATTAAATATTCATATCTAAAATCAAAATAATTATGCCGAACTAAAAATTATTATTATATTAAGTTAATTAAAATGATTTTTTATTTAATAATTTAGTGAAAAAATCGCAGATCATATTTTCAATTTTGCATTTCAAAAAAAAAAAAATGCATTTAAAAATTATAAAATAAATTTTCATTTCTACTTTTATACATCAATAATTATTAGTGTTATTTATTTGTATGTTATTAAAATATGGTTAAGAAATTGTATTATTATTAAATAATTTAAAAAATTAATTTAAATGTGAAAAAAAAAAAATTTATTTTTTAAGATTATTATGGATAGCTTTGTATCAGATGAATCAATGATGCATGGTTTTTTAAATTTTCAACATAATCGACAAAGAAATTCAAATTCAAAATACAATCATCACCATCATCATCATCATCATCATCATCATGTTCATCGTGGTACTCGATCGATGTCATTATTAGATCGTCGCGGATTAATTACTGCTCCAAGATTTCCATCAAGAAAAAGTAGTATATCACCATTACCACATCATAAAAGTAAGTTATTTATTTTTCTTAGATATGATTAATAAATTAACAATAATTTTTTTTTTTAAATTTATATTTATTATTTGAGAAATTCTTTTGAATATAGCATTATTTTATAATTGTGCATATTTCTGTAAAATTTTTATTAATTATTAAATATTAATTCATACATACATAATTAGCAAAAAAAAAAAAAAAGAAGAAACATTTACATATTTTAAAAGAGAAATTAATAACAAATATATTTTCTAATTTATTTAATTTGTCAACAGTAACTCATTTATTATAAATATTATTGTTAGAATAATTTTAAAGTAATAAAGATTATTCCAAATAAATTATCCATGTATATATGCAATTGTCTAATAATTATAATATTAATATAAACATATACAAAAAATAAAATAATATTATATAATTAATAAGAAATTAAAAAAACATTAACAAATATTTTATTTTTGCTAATAATATTTATCAATAAAAATGTTAAATAAAAATTATAAAATAATAATAAATGAAAAAAAAAAAAATAAATATTATTATTGCTATTCTATTAAAAATAAAGGACAAGAGATGGATTCAACGGATACATTAGCAATGCTAATGCATTTATTGGACAAAAATGATGACAATGATCCGTTTTGTGCAATATTTCTACCAACAATAGCTAATACGGATAGATCAACAAATCATACACCAATGGTACTTCAACATTTACACCAAACAGTGGTACCATTGCATACTGTTCAACCATTCTCAAAGGTTAACTTAAGCAATAATTTAAATTAATAATAATTATTATTTCTATTAATTAAAAAATAGTTGAAATTGTATAATTGAAATCTTTTTTTTTTCTAAATTTTCAAAAAAAAAAAACAATAAAAAAAGTAAGAAATCTATCATTTTCATTTCTAAAAAAAAAGAAAAGATAAAATAAGAAAAGAAAGAAAAATAAACCAAATAAAAAAAATGTTATTTTCTTTTTTTTTTTGATAATTTATTAATAGGATTTAAAATTTGTAGAATATTGTTGGAAGAGTATTGCTAACATTACGATATCATTTTATCAAAAATAAATTGATTGTTGATCTTTTACAAGCTAAAGATATTATTGGAAGACATAATTGCGGTAAATTTTTTGTTTGTTTATTTTATACAATCAATTTTGGCATATATTTGTTGATTTGATAATTTTGAAAACATTTCAGAATGATTTTTGATAATCATTTTATGATAGTGTAAACAAATTAAAATAAAATTTAATTATATATAATTCATTTTTCTCTTTTTGGATAATTTACAATTTTGATCATTTTCTTGACCGTTAATTTCATTCAAAGCTGAAATTTCCGAAACAAATGAGAGAATAAGGAGAGAGAGAGAGGGAGAGAGAGAGAGAGAGAGAGAGAAAGGAAAACAAAATAAGAAATCTTATTTTTGCAGATATTTTCCTTACTGTTCAACTGTTACAAAGTTGTAGAATATTGGAAAAATATGAAACAACCAGCAAACGTTTAACATCAAAAATTAATTTCAAAAAAACGATGGAATTTGATGTATCATTTGCAATGTTTTATTCTAACGATGCTAATCTTCTCATTAAGGTTTTTCTGTTAAATTAAAAAAAAAATTATATATTTTGAAATGGTTAAATATTCAAAACTAAGAAATAATTAACGTGCTATTTAATTAAAAAAAATGGGAATTAAGTGCGCCTTTTTAATAATCAGAAATTAATTAATTTCTTTATAACTAGAAATTCAGATATTAGTTGTTAAACAATTATAACAGATTTTTTTTCTGGAATTGTACATCAATGACAAATTAATTTCTTATCACTATAAATATTTAACAGTAGCAACTTTAATCAAAAATCACTATAATTAATAGTAATATCACAAAGTAATAATAATAATCGTTTTCTCATTGCTAATGATAAGAATTATTTTATCACTTATGTATAATATTCAAAGAAAAATTGCACGAAATTTGTTATATTTCCTTTTTTTTTTCCACAGCACTTCTCGTTGTTTTTATTAATGTATATAATATAAAACAATTATCAATGTGATAAGCATTGTGATATAAATTACTACTAGTTAAACTTAACTTAACAGCTTGCATCAGAAATATTGCATTTTAGGTTTGTCAAAATACGAAAAAAGCCGATGAAATTGGTCATTTTGTAATTGGTCCACAGGGAAATTCAACAGGTATACAACACTGGAAGCGAATATTTACCACACCAAATACATCATTTTCAGCATGGCATACATTAACAACTGCAAGAAATTCTTCAAATAAATTTGCAAATTGTGATTTTTATAGTAATTAAAATTTCTATGTACAATAAAAGCATTTAATTTTCTATTAAAAGTAAATCAAAGGTTAATAAATTTTAAATTAAGATGTAAATTTATCGAGCATTTACTCTAAAGTATTATTTTTTATCATGAATTGTAGCAAAAAAAAAATCTTTTAGTCTATCATTTCATCCTTTCTTCACTTTCATATCATAACCAAAAATCCATTTGTCAAGATTTGCAATGTTCTTTTAAACCAATCCCAATTTTCGAACCGAAGGGATAATCGTAAAATAACAAAAATTGTTTCCCAACTAAAGATAACATCAAAATTACTATGATTCAAATTTCGAATGTATAATTTCGAGAAATTATAACATAAATTTGATGTTATTGTAATAACCAATAGTAAAACTGTATCAAAATAAAGCACATAACAGCACTGGTATTCAAATAATGAAGCATAAAGCAACTAATGTAAAGCTATTTTATAAAAAGTACTAATCACCGGCAACATCAACACTTCTCAGTTACTTTAAAAGTTTCCAACCTTAATGAATGTTTATTGATGAGAACTTAGAAAAAAAAAAGCATATATGTTTCCGCTTTTTTAACACTAGAACTTCAATTAAATAATGATTCTAGAACTTCTGAATTTGTCTTTTTTTGTTTTCTTTTTTTTCATATAAATAATTCTTTGCATTTATAAGAAAGAGTTATCTATGAATGTGAAATAAAATAGAGTCCAATTAGCTCCCGTAATTGCCGCTGATAGTAAGGTAATTTAAATAGACTAAGCTAAAGAGGCAAAAAAAAAAAAAAAAAAATGATTTTAAATCAAAAATATTGCTATACATATTTTGTATGAAAATAATGAAAATTACAAACTGACAATAAGTAAAATTTCACAGTGATAAAGTCACTAAGAGAATTATAGAGAAGAGAAGCATGCATAATTTTTCAGTCGTAATAGCTCATTTCGGATGTTCAAATTGCTTTCGATGTTCCACATTCTTTCGATAACATTGTGCACCATATCCAAAATTTATACATATATTTAATATCAATAATTTGAAAATTAATGGATAAAAATTAATGAAAAGTGCACTAATCATAAACAATTTTGAAAAAAGTAAAATTATTAAAAAAAAAAAGACAAAAAAATTTTTTTGTCATAAAATAATCAACTCGTGCATAGGAGAAGAAGCTATGAGTGAAACATATTTACTTGCATGGTATTTTTGCTCTTTTCGTTTTTGTTTCCTCATCACTAGCTGCTTGTTCATCATTTTTAGAATTATCGCTAATTGCTTCTCGTTTTCTTTTTCTTATTATTGAAGCTTCCCTGTCATCTTCTGCATCAATTTTGTCGTTTGTGTCAAGAGATTCAGCATTATCAATTTCTGACTTAATATCGGTTTTTGTTTTCGAAAGTTCCAAAAGTTTCTAAATTAAAGATGATTAGATGTAATTATGATAGACAAAATTGTATAACCAAAAATAAGAAAATGAAGATATTAGTAGTCGCTCGCTTGCATACATTAAGAAAATAAAGTTCAAGTTCACTAAATTCGAGTCCGGATTTACTTAATAATTGAAGTCTAAGTTTAACATTAGAAATTCTGAAATAAAACAATGTAGCATGCATGTTTCTACGTTAATATTACAGTCATGAAACTCGCAATGTCAGATAATACGATGCGAAAATTTAGTAAAAATTTAGCAATTTTAAGATTCAAAATAAATATCACACCAAAAAATGTTTTCTTTGTTTCGTAATAGTTAATCCTTGAGTGTTATTTACAAAATTACCTCAAGTTCTTGTAAGCTAGTAGCCGTTTCCCAGTTTTTATCATCTCGAATTTTTGTTACTCTCGGAAAACGTATCGATATACCTGATGCTGTGTGATTATCTGATCGTGTAAATTCTGCTCCTAAAAGAAAATTCTATGCTAAATTTTTTATCTGTTGAATGAAAATAAAAATGAGCTCATTTGTGTTACAATTGAAAATACCTGCAATTTCCCATACTGGTGATTCTTTTGGATCCATAACAATGAAATCTGGAACAAGCGATCGAGAGCATTCAATCCATTCCGGTAAATTTTCATATTTTCGTGATATCTTATTCATCTTAATAAAATATATCGATTAATAAGAGGAAAATAATAAAAATTCTGATCACAAATATTAATGGAAAATTTTTTAAATAAATATGATATGTCAACAAATTAGTATCGAACAAAAAGTCATATAAAATTAGTAAATAAATATAAGAAAAAAGATTTATGAAATATTGATTACTTTTGGTTCTAATTCTTTATTGATACGTTCTAGTGTAGCATCATCATGACCGTTGCCACATTTGGTTACTGTGCAAAATTTCTGCTTCTCCTTATCATACACACCCATTAAAAACACTGACATTGTACCGCCTTTAAAAACAACAAAAAAAATAAAAATAGTAAAATACAAAAAATTGATTAATATGATGAATGTTAGTCTGTTTAGTATATAAAATATTTATTTATAAAAGAGTAGTATTGTAATTACCACTATATTATGAAAAATTAATCTTATGATAAAAATAAGTATTCATTTAAGATGAACAAAGTTAAAGAAAGGAGAAAGAAATAAGTACCTTTATTTCCTGTCCCATAAAAAGCACCAAGCAAAATGAGATCAGCTGTATCTGCCATATCACCTCCTTGCAGGTAATCTTTCTTTATCTGCAAAAAATCTTCAAAATTTCTAAAACTAAACTCATTGTGGAAAAAGATCATAATATTCTCTCAAAAATTATAGAATATACCTTCAACCAATGCCTTTTTCCAGGTTCATAAATTGAATCCAAATCTTTTAAGACCAAACCTTCTAGACCCTCATCAATGGTTTTCGAGATCAAAATTTCTAACTTATCATTTTCCTGTAATTATATAAAACATGATTCAAATGTTATAAAGTCAAGTATGATGATGATTAGCAAAAGAAAAACAAATACAGCTTACTCCTTTTTTAATAAGATGACAACTGGATAATAATATACGATTTGGAATTTCCTTCATATTGTCCTCCAAAAATTTTCGCCTTTCCCTTAATGACCTAAAAAAGAACATTTGACTTGTAACTTTTTGATCACAACTTTTTTTTCTGATAACTACATCATCTTAATAACTTGCATTTAACATAGAAAACATTTTTCCAATGTTCTGAATATTGAAGTATATTAAAAAATGATGCTTAACAATTGAAGTTATATCATTCCCAACAAAAGTATTTGACACTAACTTTTCTATTAACGAATTGCTATCGTAATATATGCAATCGAAAACAAATAAACAAACTGCTGCATCCTTGAATTGCTTCTTTTTATGGATACCTAATGTTCCAAAAGGTAACGGTTTTCCAGTATTTGTATCAATCAGTAGCATTTCTGCATCAACAATTAAATCTCTACTTGTTGGAAATGCCTCTGAGATTATTTTATTCAGATCGACCACCTGAAAAACGAAAAAATTATGAAATTTTTAACATCGAACATTCAAACGATCAAGATTGAAGTTAATAAAGTACAAATATGAGAGAAAATTTACAAACATTTAGTGTTGCTTTCTAATAAAATACTTCCTTCTTACAATTTTATATACAAATGTTGAACCTGAAAGCAATCCTTATCAAAATTCATAGGAAAACCTTGTGGTCTAATGTTGGTTTCAATGACCGTGAGAAAAACATGAATTTGCTACCATCTTTATGCAATTGCAATCTTTCTCCGTCATATTTGATTTCAGCATACATTTCTTTGTTACATTTTTCCATTGCTTGTTTAATACTTCGGCATGGTTCAGCCTTAATAAATTTGGTCAGTTAACTTATAATACTAACTTAATCCAAAAAACATTCTTTAGGAAAGATTTTGGTATAAAAATTATTAAAATAGAGTCTTCATTTTGACTTTGCAGAAAAAAGAAGAATGTGAAAGAATTCTGAATTTTGTTCATTTGTTCAACTTTTTTATTATACTTTTTTCATGTCTATTCATCGTTATGTGATCTTTTAATAGTAAATTTAAGTAATAGAACGATGTATGTTATTCAAGTTGTAGTGTTTGTTACGCAAAAACTTACAAGCATAGGCTTAATTGGTATATTCAAAACTATACCACTTTCCAATAACTTTTCTTTATCAGCATACTGACATTTTTCAATGACACCTTGCAGATTTCGTGAATTTTGAAACATTTCATATGCACCTTTCTTTAAGCCTTCTAACCTGAAAGAGAAAAATGATTTATAATCACTAGCATTAAATATCAAAAATAATATCATCTAACTAATAGTCGAAATAGCAATTTTAGTTATGAACTTCAAATTTTAGTGCTTTTCATATAAAAAAAAAAAAAAAAAATGTGTTATTAGAAGAATGTATGGATATGAAAAAAAATAGAAATATGACAACAAATCCATAAAGAATATGACAAATATGACAACAAACATACAAATGTCATACTTGGAATGAGAAGAATTGTATTTTGCTCATTATTATATGCCGCTATACATTACAAAATAATAATCTAAGATTAAAAATACATGTTTCATTCGTTTTTATCATTTAGTATTAATCCAAACAAACGTATAACCGACTCCTTTTAATAGCTGTTGTTGACATTTCTTACATTTGGCAACTCGTTTAGCATAATCAAGTCCAAATTTTGATGACATTATAAGCGTTTCACGTACTTTTAAATATGTCTGAAATATATCTAATGTTTATTTGATATTTGTTATAATGTTTATCTTTAATTAATATTTATTTGCTTATTTAATATCTTTTTTTTTTCAACTTTCCTTATATAAAACCAAATTATCAATATATCATCACTATATTATACAGTTATCAATTGAATTTTGATCAAATGAATATGTTTCCTCAATGGTAATATCAATTTAATGAAGAAATTTATGTTTACGATAAGAAATGTAAACACAATCTGAAATTAGCATTCTTCAATTAATATACGAAAAAATGTCTCCGTCCATCCACAAATTACTATTCGGGCATCAATTTTTTGTTAGGTTTGATCTAATAAAGCATTATGTAAATTTTGAAATCCTTTGAAAGAAAAGAAGGGGGAAGAGAGTGGTAGTTGTTATGATTATTTAGAATTATGAACGTTAAAAAGATTTTCCATTTAATTAGATTTAAATAAATTAGCTTTAAGGAATCAATAATGTAAACGGGCATATTAGATATATCAGTTAATTTTATTCTCTTTCTCTCTCCCCCTTTCCTCTCTCTCCCTCTCCTTTTTCTTTCTTATCATACTGACCGATTTCATACGTTGAACATAACAGATAATTTTAATCTTATGATAAAAGTCAAATTCGCGTCACCATCACTACCCAGCAAGCATTACCATGTTTTCTAGAAAAGTTCGGACAAATCGATTCCTCTTTGTATGTATATTTGTATATATATATATATATATATATATATATATATGTGTGTGCGTGTATGTGTGTATGTGTGTTACGCGTATGTCTATGTACGTGTTTTATGACTGATATATATGTACATGTATGTATGTATGTAGGTATGAATAATGCGTGTCTTATTCAAACGTATTACACGTGTCTTAATTACGTATCATTTAGATCTTGTGTTTGTTTGTTTTATCTTAAATTGACCTTACTTTATCATGAATTACTTTAGCTTTATGTAATTTAAAGCGAAAAACGAAAAGAACTGAAAAATAAATATTGATTGACGTGGATTACTTAATTTTTCTTGTTTGCTGTTATTGTTTGTAGTCGTCATATTCACATGCTATGCTAATATCCATTAATGGATTTTGTTGCATATGTGTTGTTGGTATGAGTGAAAAAAAAAGAAAAGGTAAGAAAATAGGTAAAACACATGAAATATTAATGAATTTTGGTTAAATATGGTAAAATGTATGAAATTTTTATGGAAAAAAAAGTATATATGAAAATGTTAGTGATTTTTTTTTCTTTTTTAAAGTTTAAAGTTATTGGAAAAGTTCAGTTTTTCATCCTTCTTATCCTTCATTTACTTATCATTTAATAAGTAAATATATTTCTGTCATGCTTGCATATTTATTTGTCAAACTTTCCCATTGGAATAGAGAAGACAGAACAAAAAAAAAAAAAGTTGAACGAATAATTATGCATAAAAAAAGACGAGAAAGGAAGAAGTATAGTAGCATTGCTGGTAGAACATTAAAGAAAGTTAAAGTTGACCATTTTGTTGGGATAGTAATAGATGCATTTTTATATTCTTTCATATATTATTATTTTTTTACTCTTACAATGCCAATGATAAAATATTTTATTATACATTTTGATTGTATTCATTTGTTGTGTTGTGTAATATAATTTTTTTTTTATTTTAATTTTATTCCAATTCTAATTAAAATGGAACTTGGAGATTTTTTTTTTATTAATTATATATATAGAGTAGATTATTATCATATGATGATTTAACCTAAAACCTACTCAAATATTAAGAAAAAAAAGTTGTGGATGAACTAAGAAAGCATTAGATTTGATTCTAATAATTTTAGGTTAAAAATTAATTGATAATTTATCAAAGAATAGTGAATATTATTGTCATTGTTATTGTAAGTTTCTCAATATGAAATTAATTGTTATTTTTCATGTTGATATCACTGATGTCATCGTTTTTTTTTTTTTTTTTTTTTTTTTTCAATATTAAAATTGTAGTCATTGTCGCATGCCATATCTTTGCATGCCTATTATGATTATTTATTTCTTGCCTTATGATAATTTTCTGCTTGCAAAAATGTCATACTAATTTTACTATTGATTGATGTGATACTTTTATATTTGCGTTGAATAATTTAGCATAATTAGGAGTGTAGTTTTATATGACGTAGATTGGTTGTCATTAAATAGAATGAAAATGTAAGTTAATTAACGAAAGTTGCGTAAAAAGTAAAATGTATGCTAATTCTCATTATTACATAATAGTTTTGAAGTTTTGATGTTTTCGATTATTGTCTTCACAATCAAAAATACACTTTCAAAAAAATTTCATATAATATGTGCGAACAAAATTCGATCATTTACAACATTTATTATTTAACCAGGAATTATATAGAACTGTTATGACAAGTTTTATATGATTATACGGTTAATAAATTATAAAAAAAGCATGGATTTAACATGCTCGATTCCTTATCATTAGTTTATTAACATTATAGAGATTTTCTAAGAACGATTATCGTCATCACAATCGTATATATATTCCACAAATTTGATTAATTTACTTAAGCTAAACTGTTTTTGTAGAAGTTTTGCTTGGGAGAATTGTGAAGAAGGACGTGAAGTGAAACAATGAAGTGTGATGATCCGCTCGATATGGAAGAAACGATAGAGGATGAAGATTGTAATATTAGTAAGAATATTAGTAGTACTATACTTAAAACAGATGATGGAATGGGAACAAATTCTAATGGCAATGAAAATGATGATGGTTTGAATTTCATACTTATTACATATTTAGTATTTTCTCTCTAATACTCAGAAATTTAGAATAAACACTTGGAAGTGAAGTAGCTAAGGCAATAAAAACCTATGTATGTTGTTTAACCTTCTTGTTTTATCAGCAGCTCTATGTGCCTGTGCTAAACTCTCCATAATTTATATACTGGAATTTTAGGTGTGATGGATTTCGAATATAATACAAATCCGGAAGTTTGTATCATATCGATCGGTATGGATACTATATTTGCGAATTAGTGTTTTGTTCTTAATTTATCGGTTGAATGAGTTGGACTGGCGTAATTTTTAAATTTTTACTTTCTTTGCACTTTAATCCTTGAAATCTTTGTCATGGACGACACATTTTCAGATTTGAAATAATTCAAAATTTCAGAAAGTTTTTTCTGTATGCTGCTTATTTGCTTAAAATTAGATATATGTAAAAAAAAAGTTAGATATTACAAAGGTAGTAATCTTAACCATATCAGAGCAGATAACTTTCCCTGAATTTATCTAGCTCTGAACGAAAAGTTATCTTTCAATGCTGTAGAGGTCAGACATCATCATCTCGTGAAGGCGCAATGTCATAGCGAATAGAAAATGCCCTAATGTCTAATTGAACATTTGTTGTATTTCTATTAGTAATGAAATTTTAAATATTGAATAAGTATGTTTTCATAGATTAGAGGTGATAGTCTAGCATAACTTATTTAATGTATATTAAAGTGAAAGTTTGATGCAAATCTATTTAGTATTGCACTTTTATAGCACATATATGTATATATATATACATGCTAGAAAAGAAGGGATTTACTATAGTTGCACTTTAATCAGTCTTTCTTCATTTTTTTAATTTACATGTTTGGTTACATTTTGTCTTTTTCAAGTTCATATTTTTCCCATTTAAAATTTCAGTCTATTATTTTCTATTGCTATTAAATTTCCGTTACTGTTGCATAATAATTTTACACTAGGATATCGTTGGAATGTAATAGGAATAGCTGTTTCATATTATTTATAGAAAATTGGAAGCATTTAATGGTCTTAAATAATTAATCTTTGCTTTTAGGAATGCAATTTTTCAATTATGTAAATACGAATTTCAGTGTTGTTTTGATCCTTTTTTGTGCTATAAATGAGTGAGCAATTTTAATGATAGAATGGTCGAAGTTCTTTCACACTAATAAGATGTTTGCTCATTTAAACTTTCAGATAGATGAGTAAAACAGAGAGTGTTGTGTTTAGTTTACAGGAAGTGAATAGAGAATATACTGGGAATGTTGAGAGGAAGATATTATTGAAGCATTGGAAGAGTGGTTGACAGGAATAATTGAAAGAAAGGAAGAATGTTAGAGGATGGTGGATGCTTTATAAAACAACTCAAACTCAAATCTAAGCTTTTAGAACTCGAGCTATGCTTATTAAACATATAGGATGGCTTAAAGGTTGCACTTCTTAGCTATCTTTATTGCTTCCACTTTTCATTTCTCTTTTTGTTTCATTTAGAAAGAGAGAGAGAGGGGGAGAGAAAGAAAGAGAGAGAGAAAAGAGGGAGAGGGATAACTTCATAGCATTCTATTTTTTCACTACTTCACTTCTCTGCATTTCATGCTTTTCATAATAATTTTTCACATCTTTTTGCACCAAAAAAGAAACATTTTTACTTTTTAACATCACTTCAAAATTTTTCTTTTTGGTTTTTTTTTTTTTTTTTTTTTTTTTTTTTTTTTTCTTACTTTTCTCATCTTTGCATAATTTAATGTGTTCGTTTTGATGTAATTGTTAATATATAAACAAGCGTAAATGATCACTTTTTCTCAATTAATTACTTTCTTCCTCGTTTATACACTATATTCATTTAAATGTACTCTCATATGATTTTAACTAGTTTTCATATCTTTTAGAGATTTCAGTATAATAGAAAAATGAGTTGTTTTGTTCGCGTAATGTTTAAAATTTCAATTTCACATCTGTTTACTAATTTACTCATATGGTTTCATTCTTTTCTTTCGTCTTTTTTTTTTCCTTTTTTGTTTTTGTATAATATTTCTCTTTTCCGAATTGTTTGTTTGTCATTTTGAATCCAGAGTGGTAAAAATGTCTCTTTATTTTTTGATGTATATTGAAATGAAAATTAAAATCGACTCCTTAAATTATGGCATTTTTTATCTCAATTAGTTTACGTTATCTGATACGGATAGTTTAGTGTCTTTATGTTTAGTACGTGGAAATTTTTAGAGTATCACCAGCGAATTTATTTTGTCCACAATTTTCGAGATCTATATGTAATTTGGATTTATATGTTTAGATTGTCAAGAAAATACATCTACTTCTTAGACTTATAGATGATGAAAATTTCACGCAAATTACACGCAAAGTGTAAATACAACTTTACTATAGAATTACGTTTAATTAAAAGTTGTGTTCGCTTTTTTTTTTAAGAAATTGCTGGCTTGAATGTATCACGGTTTATCAGTTTGATTAAATTAAGTTCTTCGAAATAGATTTCATGGAACTTTTTATACTTAATCTTCTTCCATAACTATCTTTTCGCTAATTATTTAAGACATTATTAAAATAAGTGGCTCACTCAGCTTCACTTCTCTTTTACTACTTTTCCTTGATGATCAACAAAATAACACTATAAAGTCATTATATTAGTACTTTAATTTCGTCTTATTTTCCACTTGTGCACTTTCAAATAATTAAAAATGACAAATTTGAAAGTTCAAGTACTGAGCATTGTTGCTCTTAACTAATTTAAACAATTGAAATTAAAATGGAGTTGTTCCCAACAAAAAAAAAAAAATCTTTGTAAATTTATATGCATTGAGTTATGATGATAAGAAGGAAGAAATGTGGAAGAAAAAAATGAATAAATAAACCATGTTTTTACTGATTTTTATATAATCACTTTAATAGGTTTAACAAATCACACTTCCCATATATTTTAATTGAAATTTATGTGGTAATCATTTTTATTTGAATAGGGTAACAGTTTACTAATTTCTATTATTCTCATCTACTTTCTTTTTTTTTTTTTTTTTCTTTTCATATCTTTAATTATTGGCATACTTTGCACTTGCTAAAATGAATTGATTCTATAACTTCTGATGGATAATAGCATACAAAGTTCATTTTTTTTATTCTAGGATAAACATCTGTTTCAGTTGGTAAAGAAAAGCTCGCTCAGTTGAACATTTAGAAATCTAGGAAAACTCAAACTTTCATTTCGATTATTTTTCTAAGTTTGATTTAATTTTTCTTTTCTTTTGACAAGTCAAGAATATTGCCACAGGTGTAGCTAGATATTTTCAAGCATAATAATTTGGATATTTGATAGGAAAAGCTACGTATAGAAATGAAAACAAATCACTGAACATTGTTTTCTGTATTTAGTGTGTTTCAAAGTAGTTTGAAGAAGACTGAAATTGACATGTGACATTAAATATATCTGAAATTTGTCACATCAAACTAAGAGAACTATGAGAAGAATAAGTTTGATTAAGATTATATCTGTAATGAGATGTAATTTTTGAAAATTCCCTTCTCTGTCTTCTATTTTCGCTTAAATATATGCGATCAGTGATTACGAAAACAAAGTTATAGTTGTTACTTTAATTTAGCTTTTGAATACTTGTAATGAATCTCCTGGGAAGATTTAGGATAACATATATTCGCGTATCTGTTACCTCACATTTTTTTTTTTTGCTTTTTCTTTTGAATTGTTAAAAGATTGATTTTAGACTTCAAAATTTATAATCTTTTAATATTTTTCCTTCCTTTCTTTCATAAAAATAAAACGAAAAAAATTAGTGAAATGCTTTTATAAGCTAGCAACTATAGCGATGAAAATAAAATTTACTTTCATTTGGTGTATTTTAACAGAATTTGATTGCTTGTCTCAGATTTTCAAACAGTTATTGCTGAAGATTCTAAAATGACCAAAGTTTGAGTTGCTTTATTTTGGTTTTTATTTAGGGGATTAATTTATAATTGACTTTTGACAAATCGTAAAAATCCTTTCTGATCAATCTTTAACCTTCTGTCTAATATTTATCTTAATATTATGATGTTAACATTTTGATGCACATTTCACACTTTGTTAGTGCTTTGAGAAGAAATACTAATAAAAATTTTTTTCTCATTTCATACAACAAATATTTTCTTGCACATTATTTTTAAAATTTTCTTCATCAATTATCTCTGATTTCAGCATTATCCTTATCATATCTTTCTATTCTTATCACCCATACGCTACTGTTAGAAAAGTTCTCTTGTTAAGATAAATGAAGCGGATAAACAGGTAATGCAACGAACAGGTTAAAACGATATTTGATTCAATTATTATGATTTAATATAATTAATTACTAGAAATATTATAGATTCTTTGAAATATGGTGAATATAAACAATCCCCAGATCTACATGTTGTTCGTGTAACTCAAAAGGAAATTCTTATCGATGCTGTCACTTTTCATGAACGTTCCCTGCAAATTGATTTTCATTGCCTGTAAGTACATTTGTCAAAATAAATTTGTTTTTAAAATATTTTAGTAATATATGATCTTTTTTTCTTTTTTTTTTTTTTAAATATAATAGAAGATAATGAGCTGTTTTACTTTTTTTTTTTTCGTTTTTTTCGTTTTTTTTTTTTTTTTTTTTAGGAATAGGATTAGATATAAACTTTTTTTTTTTGTAATTTTTATGAGCATTAATGGGAAAATTGTGCTTTGTAATGCTTAATAGATATGGTAGATAAAAATCAATGAAACAGTTAAGTAGATGAATGGTGACAATTTAATTATATTTGAAAAGTGAGCAAAAGTTTATTAATAAATAAGACATGCGAAATTTATTGCTATTAATAAGAAAGAAAGAGAAAAGTGAATTTATTATTACTAATGAATGGAAAATTCAATTTCATAATCATAGAGTTTTAATAGAATACTTGAAAATATTATTTAAAGATAAGAGAAAGGTGGAAGAATTGATAAATGATATTCGTATAATTTATTCAGTTATTTTATCTTCTTATTGAATAGTTTTTTTTTTTTTTTTATTCTAGGTTGGATTCAGATCCTATTTTATTAAAATATGAAGTGGATAAATCAGTGCAACTCATTTGGCATGCAGAGCTTGCACATGACATAATACCAGAAGAGTGCCAGATGCGTTCTGATGATCGAGAATATGTGCTAAAAAAACGAGATCCAAATCAGTGGACTTCAGGCTTGCTGCAATGTAATTCATCTAGTGCCTTATCGGCTTTACGTTCCTCATCTACTACTACATCCCCTCATACATCGTTAGTTTTCCTCCAAGTTAATTTCTTTTGTTCTTTTTTTTAACAGGTAGATTTGTCATGTTATTGATGTTAAATAAATTTTTATAGTTCAGAATATAATTTTTTACAATTTATTAAAACTCTGTATAATTTGCTAGATTTGAAAATTTTCAATTTCTTTCTTTGATAGTTTTAAATTTTTTAGACGGCCAAGCATTTCATATCGTTATATTGGTTCCACAGCTGATCGATCAGGTTTACCTCCCACAGGACAATCTTCAAATTGGATTTCTTCGCATGGTTCTAAATATCAGCGTACCTCTTATTATCCTACTAGTCGAATTGCATATTCAGCGCAAAATTTCAATTTTAATACATATGGAAATTATCCATCAACAACGCTACGATCACAGTCAACAAGTTCAGTTTTGCGAAGGTTGTGGTTTTTTTTTTTTTTTTTTGTTTATTTCTATCGACTTTTCTATGTTTTTCATAAGTAATATTATATTTACAAGTTGAGGAAAAGAAAGATTTTTTTTTTTAAACATATTCATTATAAATTAATTAAATATATACTAGCTAAAATAATTTTGCTTAATGCATTTATGTTGCTTCTAAATGAAATCGAATTCGTAATATTAATTCGGGTTGCAATCGTTATATTTGTATTATATATGTATTCTTAAATTGAGCAGTATAGAGTGATTACCTGTTTTTTTTTTCAGATCTTCCTCATCGTCGTTATTTTCGTCAGCTTCTTCAGCTTCTTCAAATATTGCTCAAAACTCACTAAATGATTCGCAACATTCAACAGGTAGTGCATTGAAACAAACTATCCCTCCTTCATCATCTCCAACAAGTCGTCCAACAGCAAAGGTTTATGTTTTTGTATGAAAAATAAAATTGTATATAATTGTTAAATTAAAAAGTTTAAAATGCATTGTAATTATATGAAAATAGTCAAGCGGTGTTTCAACATTCTGTAACTAATAAATGAAAATACACCCAAAAGTTATTCGTTTTTAAATCCACAAATTAAAATTTTTCTGGTATTCTTATGGAAAATTGTTCTAAAAAATCAACCTCAAACCATAACCTACAGGTATTACCATATGATGAGCAAGGGACAGTAGTCGATTGTGGTTTTACTGGTCTGAGGAATATTGGAAATACATGTTTCATGAATTCTACTTTGCAAATGCTTGTTAACTGCAAGGAACTTCAAGTTTACTTTAGCGGTAAATAAATGTTATACTGATTTGAATATTTATTAATTCTATTATTATTTTCCTGCTTCCTTACATTTGTAATTACTGGTTCTTTCTTCTGAACAGTTCTTTTTTTGTGATTGCATATGTTATTTTTGACTTTTTTATAGAATATATTATTATATGTAATTTACTACTATGTACTTTGCTTTTCACTTGATATTTAAAATTTGAGATATTTATTATCGATCAAACGACCAAACGGCTATTTAATTGGTAGAATAAATAATGAGGAATTTCAGTTAATGTATTTTTAAAAATCTAGTTTTAAAATTTGAGATTGTAATCTGATGATATCTATTATCGAATATAGATAATTATTATTCTAAAAATCTTTCATAATGTTTAGGTGGTTACTACAAGAGAGATATCAATATAATGAATCCACTTGGTTTTGGTGGACGTTTGGCAGAAGTTTTTGCAGAATTTATGAAGCAGATGTGGAATGGTATGAATCGTGCTTATGAACCAACAAAAATAAAGGTATGTAATTATCTGACATTATTATTAATGATTACTAGAAAATTAAAGCCAAATCATTCATATCCCTCTAATCATGTAATCATATAGATTTGAAATTAGAATACATTAATTAAATTCTAAGTAGTTTATCACAATTCATAATTTGTATAGTTATTGATAACGAAAAATTATGTATAACTTGTTTTACAGGAACTAGTGGCTGAAAAGGCTACACAGTTTGCAAATTTTGCCCAACATGATGCCCATGAATTTTTGAGTTTCGTATTGGATGGATTGCACGAAGATCTTAATCGAGTTCGAGTAAAGCCTACAACAAATACGATTGAAGCTGAAGGACGACCAGATATTGAGGTATAAATTATTTCAAAGTTTAAAATGTTGATTTATATCTGATAAATTTGCGTTATAATTATTCGTTAAGGTTTCACGTGAAGCATGGCATAACCACTTGTTGCGTAATGACTCCATTTTTGTGGATCTCTTTCATGGCCAATTGAAATCCAGACTTCAGTGTCCGAAATGTAATCAGGTGAAATTACCTGGAACCAGTACAGAATCATTTTATAACAAATTGTCCTGAGTTCAACTAAAGTTTTTGTAAATACAGATGTTGATAATTTAAACTTATCATTTACATTTTGAGGTTTATTTTCATGCGGTTTATTTCCAAATATCTGGTTTTATTTCTTCCTCCTTGTTGTTTAGTACTTTAACTTAGCTTTTAGATATCAATTACTTTCGATCCGTTTGCTTATCTTGCTGTACCATTTCCAAAAGAGAAACGTTCTTCTACGGTGTATTTTTGGCCTCTTGATCCATGTCTCAAGCCAGTTCGTGTATGTTTTTCGTTTTTTTTCAACAAAATTATATGGAACAAAAATTTTCAATCATTTTCATATTTGTTTCGTAATTCCAAGTTGCACAAACTCTAAAAATTTATTGACCATTAAGAATTTTCTGTGAATTACATTTATTATTGCAATTCTGTTTGCAGATTATAGTGCGATATAATGCAGATGGGAAAATTTCAGAGGTACTAGATGCATTATCGCGATTGGTTAATGTAAATCCAAAATCTGTAAGTTTTAACAAAAAACAAATTAACAATGTAGTAAGTGATATAACATATGCTGTTGACGGTCTGTCTCTTTGTAGAGGCTTAATTAAAATTTGTATAAACGATAGAAAATTTTTAGATGCGCATAATTGAAGTAAATAACCATCGTATTGTTCGCGTATATAATCCGGATGACAGCGTTAACAACATACTTACCACGGATATTATTTATGTGTAAGATTTTTTTTTTTTTGGTCTAACATTTGTATCTACAAGTTATTCTAAGTGAAATGTAATCAGTAATTTGAATTCTTTTGATTTAATAAATTTGTTGATAGATAATGAAATTCCCACAGTATTACTTTTATTACTTGGAGAATTGGATGTTGACATTAAAAAGATATCATTTAAAAAAGTGTAATTCTTATGAATAAGTCAGTTCACAAAATATTGTTTGACGATGTATCTGATTACGATGTGTCGAATTTAGAAAATTGAGATTTTTTACAATTACCTAAGATTTTTGTTTCAAAAAATTCCAGATTATTTGATTGAAATTTATTTCACTCATTATATTGAGACAAATTATAATCACCTTAAATTTTATTTCAGTTTTCAAGTACATGATCCTTATGATTGCAATGATGATATTGTTGAATTTGCTGTTGTTCAGCGTCTTCTTTATCGTAAGGGTATCGGTCGTGCTTGTGCTTTCTGTCATGCAACAGATGTAAAACTAAAAACGTGCGAGCGGTGTTACGATGCTTTCTATTGCAATCGGTTTGTTTTTACTTAATTTTGTGAGAGTTATTTTTTATTCATTCATTATTTCGATGTCCTTTTCAAAAAGATTTATTTTTACATTTCATATAAACATTATATGAAAATACTTATAATTAATTTAAGTTTCATATTACATACGTGAATATAAAAAATATAATTTTAATACTTATAAAGAAATATTTTTAGTAGTAAAACTTTGTTTGTTTTACTGTTAAGTGATCCGAAGAAATTTTTTTTTAGCGAATGTCAAGTGAAGAATTGGCCAGATCATAAAATCGGCTGTAGATCACGTACTCAAGCGGAAGCTGTTGGGCAACCGTTCATCATTTCGTTACCTAAAAAACGAGCTACTTATTCGAATATTATGAGGAATTTGGAAAGTCGTTGCAAGTTAGTTCTTTCTTCTATCTTTCCATTCATATGAGGAATTGTTTATCAGTGAAATTTAATAAACATTGATTTAGTTGAAATAAAATATAAAAGGTTTATGGCATATTTTGTTGTCTTTATTCTTACAGAGATAGATTTTTTTTTATACTTATGGTAATCATACTTATGAAAGCACTTTTTTTTTACCTGTAACGATAAATACACAGTATTCAGTGAAGATAGCGTTATAAATCTGATAAAACTCATATAATTAATGAATAATTATTATGGTGAATTTTACGGCGTTCTTTTTCTTCTTTACTTAGGAATCTTTTTTTCCAAATAAATTTGCTCGTTATATAATTTTTTTTAGACATTCGGTTAATGTATTTCAACCACCAGTTGAAAACAATAACGATGCAGTGGTTGATCCATTAGAATCTTCTCGTGAATCATATGTGGGTTCAAGCTCATGCTTTTCAGCATCTGCTATTAATGGGAATATTGATGATTTACCGGTATGATTGCATATTTTAGTGTTACTATGCTACTAAAAATGAAACTTTTCCCAAAAATTTTATGGATAAAAATGAATGAGCAGGTCAAATTGATAGTATGGCTGTAAGTATGAAGTTTAAGAAATACTAAAAAATTTTTTTCATTCATTTCAAATGAAGGTAGTTCCTGTTGCGGCGAAAAGACAGATGGTTCTTGGTGAGCCACGAAATAAATCACGAACGGAATCAAAATTATTCTTAGTACGTAAACTGCAACAATCGGATGCTGTATTTGGTGATACATTGGTTGATTCACGCTCTGATAGTAAGAATTGATGTTTTTTTTTTTTTTTTTTTATTTCTAGCAGGTGAAGGTTTCTTAGATGAAAGCCAGTTTTATAATTTGCTGTCTTGGATTTGCAAAAAATTTAGTCACAGTTTCATTTTTTTAATATTTTTATATTAACTATCGTATAAGTGAAAGCTATTACTGGTTTGTTAAAAAGTGATATAAATTTTTTGATTTTATACATCACTTTAGTTTTGATTTAGTATTACATTAATTAAAGTTAACGCAATCAAATTGTTATCAAAGCATGACATGTTTTTTTTTTTTTCGATTGTATAAATAAATTTGAAATGGATGAAGTTGGATTTTATATAAAATGTTGTTTGATTACATATTTATGCAGAATGTTTTCAAAAACGGAACTTTATATCTAATTTTTAGCAGCTTTGGATTTGCCAAATGGAACTTTTCTTTCAATTAATTGGTGGAATTTGAAATGTGGTAAAGAATATTTAACAGTTGAAACAAAAAGAGATGTGGTAAGTTATTAAATATATTAATATCATATCGTTGTTTTATTTGTTTTCATCTTTTCAGTTAAATTTCAGTAGCTTTAAAGAATTCTAAATAAAAGATTCATACAAAAATTAAATTGTCTTGCTACAGGATGTCGATATCGAAAAAACCGCTTACTATCAGAAAATGTCATCATCAATGGCAAGTTCCAGTAGCATTGCTTCAAATCCATCGTTGTATGATATGTTAGCAATGTTTTCGGAAACGGAACGTCTTAAACCGGAAGAATCCTGGTGTGTTTTATATATTTTTAATTTCATTAGAATTCGGAACTTTCAAAATGAGCAATAATTGAAATTACTATGAAAATTATCATTTTCACTAAATGTAATGTTAAAATAATGACTTATTAATAACGGATGAGCTTCGTGGAAGAAACTTTTAGTACCATTTGCTTATTTGTTTTATTTAAAGTGATAAAATAATAGATAGTGAAATTATTATGCTTATAAAATGTAAGCTACATTTTAATGCTTTCTTTTTCCAACTTCAGGTACTGCAGTAAATGTAAAGAACATGTAGAAGCAACTAAACAGCTTGTTTTGTATCGCTTACCTCCTATTTTGATCATTCAGTTGAAACGTTTCATTTATACAACATCGCTGATGACAGTACATCGTCGTTCCAAGGATGATCGTCCTGTTCGATATCCACTTGATAATCTTGATTTGGCTCAGTTTTTATCCGACACTGCTCCATCAGGACAGGTTATATATTTAAATTAGAATTCTCAATAACATGTTACGTAATATCAATGCGCTACATTGATTTTTCTTTCTAATTTCATTTTAATTTCATGTGATCATCTTGTCCAATATCTTGCCATAATCTGGACTTGGCTCAATTTTTGTTTAATATTGCTTCATCAGGACAATTTATATATACATATTTGAAAGATTTCTGAGTTCTGATTTCTTTAAAAGAATATTATAGTGTATGAATAAGCTTTATTCGATGTACTGTTAATAAAAAAGTATGTAATTCACTTTTTTTTTCCTCTTTCCAGGAAACGAAATATGATTTGACAGGTGTAGTATGTCATTCTGGGAGTAGCTATTTTGGACATTACATATCGTTAGGTAGACTGCTAAGTATTGATGGGAAAACGATTGAAATTGGTAACTTTTTCATTTTAATTTCTAATATATACACATATAATAAAAAACAATTCGTATTAATTTAATCAAATACAAATCTTGTTTTTCATTTTGAATATTAAATTTTTGATGTATTTTTACATATTTTGAATGAGTATATTACATTTTATAGATTGGCGTAATTTTGACGATTCGATTGTTACACGTGCCCAACTTTCACGTGTTCAAAACGATGATGCTTACTTGCTATTCTATAAGCAGCGTGGAAGAGCAACACAGGATTTGCTAAAGAAACATTATGGTATTGGATAATTCCAAATTTAACAATCATCTTTTTCTGTATCCTTTCTGAAGTGTCATTGTCCTCATGGTCGAAATCTTATATAGCTTCTGACTTCTTTTTTTTTTTTCTCCTCCCCAAAAAATGCATTTTTTTTTTTTTTTTTGATATAGTCGATTGGTGGTGATATTGGCGGTGATAATTGATGTTTTTCTATTTCTATATATTCAGCCAAAATGGTTGCATTTTTTTTTTTTCCTTTTCTTTCCCTTTCCTCTACATTTCTTCTCTTTTATTATGTTCGTTTGTTACTATTTATCGTTTTTCTTCGTCTCTGTTTTACGAGTTATATCTTGTGAATAAAAATAAATTTGGCAAAAAATGAAAAAATTATTTCTGGTAAACCAATTTAAATGGACAAGTTAATTAATTTATCAGCTCAAAATTCTCTTTCGTTTATTCATCCTACTTTTGCTGCCAAAAAAAAAAAAAAAAAAAAAAAAAAAAAGAGAATTTTTAAAAGGTTAAAACTTTTTATTTCAATGGATTATTAAGATGCATTGTTTGTGTTTTACTTGATTAACATTCACTACTCACTGCACGATTCAAGATTCATCTATAATGCCTGAATATACTTTTGCTTTATAAAGATTTTTGAAAGAATTCGAATTATTAAGTCTTTTTTTTTTCTTACATTTCAATATGCTATGACAGAATAATTACAGTTTTTATTTTATTTTTTTTTCTTTTTAATCTAAAACTAAGCAATACAGAGAAAGAAAAATAAACGTAAAATAAATCATCTAGATAATCGAGGTTTATTATTCACGGAGATTTGAGTAGTAGCGAAAATTATTGACATAACTTAATTATGAATATGTGTGAATATGGGGGAAAGAGAGTAGACAGAGAACAATTATTTAGCTAACTTTGCCCATATGTACAGGTAAGATAATAAGTAATGATTTTACTACAAATTTCATTATAATAGTAAAGTAGTGCACTAATTGAAAATGGTAAGGTTCTTACTGATAAAAGTTATCGTTAGTAGCTTCTATCTAAAATGCTCAAAACCATTCATTTGTTTAATTTAGGCTTAACATAAACAGAGCAATATGTAATGACAGAGTAAAAAAAAAGTTAATAAAAACAGATTACATATGAGTAAATGTCTCATAAACATTTGAATGCTTTTAGGAGGATATATATATATATATATATATATATATATATATATGTTCAGAGTGCAAAAATTTAAGTTAAAAGCTGTATTGCTAATGTTTTCAATAAAAATAATGTAAAAGTTGCATCTTAAGATATTTCTGTAACGTTCTTTCTCTTACCAATATAGCTTTGGGAATTTCAAACGTAAAAAAAGAAAATATTCTAAAAACAAAATTACAGCACCAATTCATCAAATGTCAACGAACCAAAAAGTGCTATTGAAGGCTTTAAAAAAAAAAGTAAAAAATTGACGAATGACGTATTCACTTCAGAAATAAATGATGAGTAGTTCAGTGAAAAGGAGGTAAAGTTCCTCACTTAACATAGAATTTCTTAAGATTTGAACGAAAGAAATGACAAAAAAAAAAAAAAAAAAACTTTGCTCGATGAAAGAAAAATAAGATGAATTAGGCAAATATAAATTAACAAAAACGAAAAAAAAAATACAATTAAAAAAATTTACTCCATGAATCAATGGAACTTGTAGTGCGTCCACATTATATTTGATAGAAATAAAAAACCTTTTGAAAATAATCATTTATGTGAGTGATAGAATAGCTTGTGGAAAAAACCCCAATTCAAAATTCCAAAGTAACTGTTTAGAAATTCTAAATAAAGTAGTGAGATTTTTTTAAAAAGTTATTTTAAACAAAAACTTAAATTTATGCAAAAAAGTACATACAAAAGTCCACATTCAATACACTTTGCAAAATCAACCATTTATAACTTTTGTCCTTTTTTTAAATAAAAAGAAAAACAAAACTACACCTATCGATCTTATTCCAAATTGATTTTGCTACATACACTATAATCATAAAAAGTTGTTTTGATTTTTAAAGAATGGTGATGATATCAGTTTTGTATGAAATTCTGATAAACCAAACCAGAGAATTGGAGGTAATATATGAGTGGAAATGAATTTTGTACAAAAAGAATTTCTTAAAGTGTTTTGGAGTTAGTATCATGTTCTATGTACCATCAATTATTCCGTTCAATTTAAATGTTCCAATCGAAGAGTAGTATCCGTGCTCATCTGCTGATCCATTTAAAATCGATATATGGACCTGAGAAACAAAATAAATAAATATCGAAGATATCCAGTGAATCATCTAGGTAATTAACGTTATTTGTCAAATTGATGTATAACCGATTTATTGAATTTACCGTTCTATAAGATTTGTCGCTGTCGATATCACTTCAAAGCTAATACTCTAAACAAGATAAACAAGATTTTCATCAATCTAATCTCTAACTTAAACAGTCTTCTGGATTGATGATTAGTTATTTGTATAAACTATGTAGAATATTTAGATGAATTTCATAAGAGATTGCTGTATAAGGTGCACTTTACTTTGTACATACATATGAATACAAGAAAATATGCTCAACTGATTCTTAGATGAGAAATATGTGCAGTTTTTCGGTACTTTCTTCTTCATAGCTCTTACAAATTGGCATCTTAAAATTATCATTTAAAAATTAAAAAAAAAAAAAAGACAGTCTTTTCAAAAATGAATCAACATACTTCAGTTACTGTTACTTTCCCAAAATCATAATTTCGATATTTCTCCAACAACTTCGCCACATCCATTCGTCCTCTCTTCTTCTTTTTTTCCCACTGCAAAACAATATTTTAATTCTTGATGAAATAATCTTAAATGATGAAAACGAATAATTTGAACCTATAAAGATCATGGAAACGGACAAAAATCCTTTAGACATTGCAGTACTAACCATATATCTGGTATTCATAAGGGTCAGATGTATCTTTACTGAATCCTGTTGTGGAGCAAAACCTGTATCACTCATTGCATGTGCTATTGTATCAACGACATTGGCTAATCTGAAAAAAAAATGAAATTTTGTAGCAGCAAAAATTAATTCAAATAATAATCGAAATTTGGATAAAAAACGAACTTATCTGATGAAGTTAATGCGTATAATACATTAACACGAGTTGGATCATCGTTCATGATTTCCAATCCTTTAATTTCCACTTCCAATGGCTTACCATTCAAGATTTCACTTAAACATTTACAGAGTGAAAATATTCCGAAACATCAAGTTCTACTGAATTAGTAACCATCATTAATGTGAATAAATGAATAACCTATACATGACTGAATGTTGAACTAACTAATTAAACTAACTGAAACTATTTAAATTAAATGAGGTATTTAATACACTTTCTAATAATAACTTCTCTATGAGAACATTTACATCTTAACTTTCACTCATACATATGTTTGATTTTCACAAATTGTACTGTTTGCAAACTGTTTTTGGTGGTTATAATAGTTAAAATAGAAAGTAACAATTATCAAATTGCTTAAAATAAATGTAAGTAAAATGCGATGAAATAAGTACCTCACGCGCGTATTGATTATTTTTTCTAATGAATCTGATATAGACTTTTCTTCGCTAATATCCAACAATGACAACATTGTTATCGTCAAATGTAACTTTCTTGGTTCTTGAAAAACGGTTTCTTCTCTACATGAATCCTGCAAGAAAAATTACTAAAAATTTTAGAAATACACATAAAAAATTATTAATTTTTCACACATTAACAAATTTCTTCCTATCATATAAGCTATTATTCCATAACAGTCAGAATGCACTAAAAAATATTTTTTTTTTTTTTGGCAGAATTTTCAAAATAGTCAGACTAATTTATCATTAATAAGTAAAAAAGAAACAATAACAACGAAAAGAATCTTGTTCGAAAATAGCAAAACAAAATATTTACCGATAATTCCTCATCATTTTTAACTGTATTCATAAATTTGAGAAAATTATCTTTAATAGTTTCGTGCGTCATAGGAATTGAGATAAAATGTGTATATGAGGCTCTATCACGTGCTCCATGAATTATTAAGTGAATTCGATCACGACAACGCATCACACTTTCTTCTGATGTCATTGATACAATTTCTGTAAAACGAATAATAATAAAACATGTAAAAATATGAAAATTTTCACGCAGAAAAGAAATAAATAAGATAAATAAGGAAGCACAGATAACAATGATTGAGCAATATGTACATGATTACTTCCTTGTTTGTTTGTTGGGTTAAAACTTTATTTGAAATCAGAAGAGCGTATGCACAAATTTTGTCAAGTGTAGCAAGCGAATGCGTAAAGATTTTTGCTTATAACAATGCAATATCAAAAAAAAAAAAAAAAAAGTAAATAATAAATTTAGAACGTTACGCCATATTCTATCAACAATGATCCCATTTTTGCGATAGCATAGAAGATAGGAAAAGCAAAAGTCCATAAAAGTGAGATTTTACAAACATTCTTGGCATGAAAATTGACATAATAAAAAAAAGATTAAGGAAAAGTTACATACCAACAGGATGTTTCTTTTTTTTCTTTGTCGGAAAATTCAACCGACAACTTGTCTCTTCTTCAATTTTTCTTTTCATAGACCCTTTCGGTCCAATTACAAAACGCCGTAGAAGAACAGGGATTTTAATCCTTAAACAAGTTAAATTTCTTAATCAGTAATAGCATGAAGCTCAATAAAATAATATCAAATAACAAGATAAAATCCAATAAATGAAACAAAATATGACATAAAAATATGACATTAAACTAAGGAAAAAAAAGCAAAGCAAAAATCACCAAGATTATTATCGCTTGTTCTTAGTGACACCAAGAAGTTAATCTCAGTAATCTCTAACAACTTTTTATCGCCTATGTTGCCTGAACAATATAGATATAAAGTATAAATATAAAGTCTTTCTTTTTTATTTTAAATTTTTGAAAATAAGAATAATAGCAGTAGCAGTAAAAGTAAAAATTACTTGGCTGTCCACTTTTTTGTTTTTTTATTGTAATTTACAATAAATTCTTCGTTCTGTTCTAATTGATCTTCATCTGTTTCATCAGTCATATCTGTTGTTAAGAGATCACTCGATTCACTAGTCATCGTTCTGGTCTCATCAGAGCTATTTGACGCATTCACTGCAATATTTGTTTATATTTATTCTAATTTTTAAAAAAAGAAAAAAAAAATTTCGTTTAACGAATTCAAGCGACACAACTCGAAATTTAGCTAGAATGCACTAAAACACATTCACTATTTCATCATTTTTTAAACACCAAAAATTTTATCTAATAACAAGTAATAATCAGATGATAACAAACAACACACTGCTGACATTAATCATCCCATTAAATTAAAATAACCAATATTCATTGTACTAAAACAACTCATATCACCGATATTTACACCTCTAATTCCTCCCTATTAGAACAATTAAATAATCATTTTAACTCTTTCCTCATTTTTCGAGCTTAAAATTTTAACAACGCATTTACTGTTTCTGTTTAAGAGAAAGAAAGTCAATCATAGTGCAACAAACCAGCTGAACCACAAGAATCGCTTTCACCGTATAAATCAGCTGTATCACTGGTTCCAAAATTTACCTCATATTCATTTCTAAAAAAAGAACAACGGCGAACTTAGTTATTCAACACTATATCCAATTTTTATTGATTAGTAAAAAATGCGAATGAACGATTAAATAATTTAGTTCAAAGAAATCCATAAATTGATACTTCAATTAGCAAATAAAAAGGGAAAGAAGAATGAGTCAAGAAATGAAGGAAAAATTAGAATAACTAAAAGGGATACGATAAACATTATCTTCTTTCCTCATATAGCAAAATCCAAATAAAAAAACCGCACATAATCAGGATAAGAATGCAGAATCAATCTGTCATTCTATCATTCGACTATTTTATATAATTATGAAGTATGACAGATATAAGTGATAGGTAAGAACTTTGTATAACATTACAATGAGTACTCGAATTTCAACAAATCTGTCAGCTTAATGAGATAAATATGCCCAGCATCTCAAATTCAATTATACCTTTCTATATTTAAATTTTTAGCTTCATTACAACTTCCATGCCTACTGAACGAATTCCATGCAATAATTATTTAGAACATAATATAACAAACTGCTGTATATTTTATTAATTATATATCTCTTGCATGCAACGCTGGTAATATTTACATAATTAAATATGCAAATAGTGATATTAATAAGTACCAAATAATACATTTAAAATTTATAAAGCGAATGGTGACATAAATTTCTCTCAACCTTCGTGTTTTTTGAATATTACGCCTATAAATGCGACCATCAATTTCATATGTTGGAACGAACAACGGAAAATTCATTGATAGAATGATCGGTAAATTATCTGCAAATTACAGTTATTTCTACTTGCTTTTGCAAGCTTCAATTTCTCAATCCATTCTAACAATTCAAAACAATTTATTTTATAATTTATTCAAAATCATTATAATCAAATCGTTTTATAACTTTTACAAGGCACATATATTGAATTCAGTTGAATTGTTTGAAATATTATAATTTTTCTTTTTTGATTTCATTATTACTACTCTCAATTTTGCAAACTATCTGAACAACTAACACACATTTAACAAATAAATTTGTAATTTGGCATACAAACAATATAGTTTTTCCGATGTTCCGTTTCTTTTCTTTTAAAGGATGAATTCTACATTCTTATGGAGAGAATCTGACAGCGTCAATTAACTAATAACTAAAATCGACTACTGATAAAAGAAAAGTTAAGTTACCTTTTTGAAATGATCCGAGCAATAATCGTTGGAAATGTCTGAATAATTTAATTGTTGTTTTCGATAAGTTCATCAATTCAAAGACAGAATTTGATATATGTCATGCATATAATCACATATCCTACAGAAATAAAAACTTATTTGACAAGTTTGAATTTCAGGAAAGTTTACCGGTTATTGCGCTCTTAGATGTATCCGAATTTCCGGATCTTCGTTCCATTTTTACATGTACCTGTTGAACTATCACTCATCCTTTACAACTTACTTACAATCAAAACTGACACAACACAAAGCAACTGCTACTATTTGCCCGTCACAACGATCACAGAAAAGAGGCCACAAGCTGGGCCGTCTTTTCCCAGCTGTGATTTTTGGGCGCTTAATTTATTCTTCGGAATTAGGTTTCGTTAAAAGGACATTTTCCTTGATCCTTTGTAGCATTTCACTGATAAATTTAGAACTAAATGTCAGTTTTATCACACGAAACTGATATAATATTTAACTTTTTAATTTAACTATTTTAAATTGACATTAAATTTAATTTAAATTTCTCTATTAAATCATCCAAATTTATTAAAAAAATTTTAAATTATGAATTTAAACCAATGATTTTTTCATTTTAAATTGAATCATTCAAAATTAATTATGTTGAATTTTTAACTTTTAAATTTATAGTTTAAACCTAAATCCATTTACTACTGTTTAGACTAACGTTTTTTCATAATTTCTTTACCAACTATTAGATAAGTAAAAGTAAAGTGGATAAATAAAAAAAGAGAAGTATATAGGAAAGATAAACAATAAATGAAGTCAATTGAATCTTGTACATTTGGTTACGCTTTAACATTTTTTTTTTTTTGACTTAAAATTGATTATAGTTTTAAAATATTTGCAAGATTTATAGTTAGATTTTAATTAATCGTTCCTAATACGTTTTTTTTTTTTTTTTTTTTTAAACTATACATTTTTCTGTTATATGAATGCCCGATAACGTAACAACAACTGTATCAGTAGCAGCTACAACAACAGTTTCTACATCAATTACTGATAATCGAATCGCAGAATTCTTATCACGAAGACGTGGAATAGGAAAAACATTACCCGTTGGTTGGAAACCATTGTTACCACCTACGAATGCTGTACGTCAGAAAATATTAGATCAAATTATGACACGACGTAAAGAAGAGGAAAGAGGTTTCGTTTTTTTGAATTGAAATTTTTAGAGATTCAGAAAAGGCTTAATTTGATCAGATTAAAAATTACTATAGTCTAGTTTATTCTGGATTTAATTGTTTTTGAATTAATTTTATTATCTATCTGATTGCTTCATTTATTTGCCTTACATCCTTACATCGACAATAAGTAATCAGAACTGATGTGACATGCTGATGAATGCTTTTTTAGTGATTTTTTGGATAACTGATTATATTTAATGCTTCACTGATTGTCATGAATGTTTCTTTCAGTCATGAATTATAACCAAATAAAATATTGGCTAAAGCAAATTTATTGTTACAAATATACCAACTCAGCTTATTAATTCGTTGTTTTCCATATAAATATTGCAATATGGTTATTTATAATCTAAATCTGTAATTCATCTACTTATGATTTCGGTAAATATCTGATCATCAATTAATTTTTTTTTTTTTTTGTTTGATTAACTCAAGTTGTTGCAGATCGTGCGGCTCGTGCAGCACGTGCTGAAGAGCGTAAGAATGAGGAAGAGAAACATGCTTGGTACAAAGAAGAGATAAGCGAATGTGAAAAAAAAGTAAACTAGTTACTTCGTACTTTTTATTTGTCAATTTAGTAAAATTAACTGCTATATTTTTCAGTTCTTTGGAGTTCTACATGTTTGTCATTTAGTGAAAAATGATGCGGATTGAATTGCTAAATTTTACTTAATATTTGAAATGTTCCGAAATCCATTATAAGATATCAAAAAATTTTTCATACATCTGTGAGCTTAACTACTAGTATAAGTGTATTATGATTAAACTTGTCGATTTTTATTATTAATTTTAGATTCAATGTCTAAATGCAAGGAAAATTGAATTAGATGAAGCAAAAAGTAAACTATTTGCGGAGCTCAAAGAAGTAGTTGCAAAATCGAAAGATCGGACTCAGAATCAAACTGCTTTTTATAGTCATTTAATTCAGTCACAAACTCGGAATAAGGTTTGGATGAAGAAATAATTGGATTTCTTCGGCAGTTTATTTTTGAGATAATAGAGCGATATAGAAATGTGAATTCATTTTTATTGCAAATATAAGTATCAGAAATGCTTATTATATTTTGTCATTATCTATATTTAACACCATCAACTTGTTTCAGGAGAGAGACGCGGATGTTGGATCAGTTTCAATACGACAGTTTCCTGTTGATGGTTTGCCGAATTCTGGTGCTGCGGTTACCAGTGGATATTCTGATTTGCAGGTGCGCATCTTAAAGTAGTAGGACTACCTTGCAGTGCAGTAATGGCTATTAAGATTTTTTTTAAAGCTTTTTTTTTCTTCGATTTCAGATGAATCGGATACTTCAGTGATCTGGAAAATCTTGAAAAAACAAGTATAATCAGCAGATATCAGAAACATAAAGCGGCACAATATTCATTTTATGAATCAATATTCATTCTGCTTATAAAAAGTCATGCAAGTTTGTTCGTTTGTTTGTTTGTTTGTTTTGAGAAATATTATACGAAAATTGTTGAAGCCTTTTTGCTTAATTTAGTACTGAATAACTTTTGTTTGAATTTCAGAAAAATTATAAGCAAGAAACCAAGAATTCTGGTAATGATTTGAACTGTGATAATTTCTATTTCATATTTTATCATTTGTTTTAAATTGCATTGTATTGTTTATATTTTCAAGTGGTCTGAATTTTTTTAATCATAAAAATCATTTACTTTGCTCGCGCAACAATCAGAAATCAAATTATTTTCCTTTTAATACTACGTGAAATCTTAAAGTTAAGCATTTTTGCTAACAACAATTTACCATGGTAATTGCATACCATTTTTGAGATTTTATAGTTGATGAAGACTTATATAATCGGATCATGGATAATTTTATAATAGATATGTACTTGATGGCTAATATATAAATAGATGACAGACTTGTCATTAAAGGATATATTGATAATGTCAACAGAGATTTAGTTCTTTTTTTTCTTTTTCTGAAAATACCGATTTAGTTGTCCCAAACATTTTTTTTTTTTTTTGCTACGTACTTGTTTAATGCCTGAATGTTATTAACATCCTAGAATTTATTTCTTGGGGAGCTGGTTTTTTAATTTATAGTTCAATCATTTTCTATGTAAATCACAGTTTCACTTGGTTAGCATTTATTGCAGTGAATTTTCAACGACTTTGAAATTTGACTGCCAGATATTTTATTTTGCCTCAAACTTGAATAATTGAATCAATGGCAAGGAGGAATCTAAGAGAGATTAACTGAATTAACGAAGAATGCATGAAAAAGGGCATTTAACAGGAAATCCCTAACGGAAAGGGAATTTGTAACACTAATTGCGGATGTTGAGGGCAGATTTAATATCCGACCACTAACTTATGCCAACTTTGAAGACTGCGTCATCATGATTAAGGATGATGATAAACAGGAAGAACTCATCCTTCATAGATTAGAGACCAGAAAAGCCTCGTCAAATACTGGGAATGCATTCTTAAAATTCTCGAGAAAACTGGAGAGTCGAATATTTAACAAGCCATCGAGAACGACACGAAGGAAAATTATCTCATTCAAAAGAGCACAAAGAAGGACTCCAAGGAAAGGAGAGATTGTACTCCTAAATGAATCGCACATTCCAAGAAGAATGTGGAAATTATTAAGGATCAAGGATATCAAAACTGATAAAGGTGGTGAAGTTAGGAACGTTCAAGTAGAAACTCCTACTGGAAAACTTCTCGATCGTCCAATAAATATCCTGTATCGAAGTTAATGACGAAGAAAATCATCTTGAACTTAATAACAAGGAAAATATGAAAGTTCTAAAAACCGGACAGAACACAAGGGAACTCCAGGAACTCATTGCAATGCGAAATAGAAGCAATACAAAAGGACAAACTCAATCAATCAAAAGGAGAGTAACTTAATTTTCTCATTTTTATTGTGAGACAATTAAGTGTCTGTCGTAAAAAAGAGTACAAATTATGTTTGATCAATCAATCATAATATTCATGTTTGATGTTTTTGTTTGTTTGTTTTTGATCAAACATTTGACGAAGGATTGGACGAAGGATAACTTCGTCAAATGGTTGATCAATCAATCAGCAAACATTTTCGCATCTGCAATTTAATCTAATCAAGATCGTTAAGGCATTAAGTTTATTACATTCTCTTTCTCACTACAAAAGACCAACTGTTATCAATTTCTGTTTTTCATACAAATTTTTAATTTCAAATTAACATTTTTTTTTTTTTTGATTTTGAATTTATGCAGAATCATTTGTATATACAAAACTAATCTCGACAAGACATCGTCAATGTGATGCATATCTTTGATCATGTTTTTGGATCTGATTTAGATATTTAATTTGAATTCAGATATTATTAGCATATGTGAATTAGCTTTCTATCAAATAAAATAGCCATTTCCATTACGATTAATTTGCTCTCAATTCTTCTGTTATTTCGTTAATGTAAAGCCAAAAAGAAAAAGAAAAAAATCAAAGAAACAAATTGTTTTGTATGGAAAAATCTTCAAACATTAATATATTTTATGTTTTATTAAATAATTTTTATTATTGTTGTTGTTATTATTATCATTATTTGTTGAAAAAATATTTTGAATCCCATTTTGTACGCATTTGTTTCAAATTAGAAAGAGAATTTAAAAGAAAACAGGAAAATTGGTAAAATTGAAATATTTGAAGCTAGTAAAAACTATTAAAATCTAAAATACTAGAGAGATTAAATAAAAAATAATAAAAAATTTTCAGAACTAATGGAATTGAACATTAAATGAGTTTCTAGTAATCAACATTTTCTCAATCATTTTTTTGTTTATTGTTTTTTCTTTTTTTGTTATCTTAATTGAATTGTATAATGTTGACTTCCTATAATTGTTCAATTGCTTTTTATAAATGTTTAACAATTGTGAAATTTAAATTTGATTCAATTTATATGATTCTGTTCACAATTTTTTCTAAATAATATTTTTCAAGTTTTTTTTTTAAATTTTCAAATTTAAATTTGTTAACTCAAAACTTTTTTCAAAATCTGCCTCAGAAAATTTAAATAAAAAAAAAAAAAAAAATCAAATCAAAGATAATAATATTAAAAATATATTCTCCATTAATACTAAATAACAATCAGTAATTCATGATTTGTAAGTATTTTTAAAGTGAACGATGCTCAATGATAAATATTTTTCACACTATTTTCAAAATAAATATCAAACAGATAACTGGAATTGATAATTATAAAAAATATAGACAAAAACTTGCAACAATCGAAGTTTGTTTTCAATTAATTTAAGTTTTAATTTCTAACGAAATAATGTTAAATATTTACTTAGTAAATTATTAGGAAGAAACGCTAAGGAAAAAGTTTACTAAAAGTTTGACGCATTATTTTCGAGAAACATTGCAGGAATAAGAGATTTTAAGTCGGTAAGATTTAAATCTTTTTTGATCTATCCAATACATTGTTTTAGCAATTGTTATAACGCATTTAAGGCGTCCGAATCATTTATATTTGTAATTGCTAGTTTAATAAGAATTAAGTATGCAAATTAACAGAAATATTATTGCTCAGTACATATTTTCTCTAAGCTCATATTCATACATTTGAGCCAAGCATAGTTGTTAACATCGAACTAAAGAGCTTGGCCAAAATTTGAAGGCATCCATCCGTTGGTTGTTAATGTGAATAAATATTAAATTAATTTTGCAGTAAATAAGGCTGTAATTAAAACAAAAATACTTTGTTGTCTTTTATTCAGAGCTATTAATGCCACTGACATACAATGCAAATAGTAAAAGTATACCACAGAATATATCAAAATAAAACTTTGAAACAATCAATGAAATTTTTAGAATTTAATTGAAGCAATAACAATACAAATCTTTTCAAAGGCATTTTTGTTGCTTTCGTTAAATTCTCTGAAATTCTGGCACTAAAGGTTAAAAGGTTAAATTCTAGAATGAATTCGCTTAAATATCCCACATCAAATGACTATTTTTTGGAGTATTTGAGAAAAGCGATAGCATTTGCATAGTTCATTTTAGAATAATACAATAGAAAATGCTGGATTACAATTTCAAGGAAAACATTTTAAAATTACATTTGTATGAACTTTGAAATTTGCTAATTGAGATAATCTAATATTTACCGTTTCCATTACCTGTGTTTGCTTTTCACTTCAATTTTGTCCTCTATTTTAAAATATTTTGTCGCAAATCATTGAAGAATTTAACAAACATAGAGCCGAAATCAAATATAAAATGCAAAATTTCAAGCAAAAAATTGAAAATCAAAAATCACAGTAAGTCAATGTGATAATTCATTATTCAGAAGCGAATTTAAATATAATATTTGACTATAAATTAGAAAAAAAATTTTTATTCCTCTTCAATCAACAATCAATTCTGTAAGATCTCTGAATACTATTTGAAATGATTGAAGTATCCAATCTTCGATCAATTTGCGGAATTGTTCTTCTGATAGATACAGCGGTACAGAACTTCTAAAAATGTTTACAAATAAAAAGAAAGTAAAAAAAAAAAAAAAAAAAAAAAAAGATAAAAGCAGAATACAATTTTTAACAGTCTAACATCATTCGAGAAGAAATTTATTCTATTTTAAACAAAAATAAATTTATAAGCCATGTCTTAGAGCTATTATAAACTAACATAATATTTTATTTTTTTTCGCTTTTTTATTTATAAAATTAATAATAGTAACAGCAGTAATAGCCAATTAATATTTCCAACAAAGATATTTTATATAGTTTTGAAAACTACCTGAAATGCAGTTATTTTTCAAAATGAATAATGGTTAATAATTATACAGATCATTTCTGGTCATATTTAAGCATTTTTTTTGAAAATTTAAAATGTTTTAAAATACACAAAATGACTGTTTAAAAAAAAAAAAAAAAAAAAAAAAAAGGTTAATCACAATCAAAACTAACGTTAAATCATCAACTTCATGCCCGTTTGCATCTAAATACAAATGACCCCAAAATGCTCCTAATTGACCCAAAACGATTAAAATTAATCTATTTGAAATTGACAAAAAGCATGCCGCACTATTGCCACATTCATTTGCATGCTTAAATTTGATTAAATTAGCTTGTTTAATAAAAAATAGTTACTGAAAGGAAGAAAAATGTTAACAGTGATAAGTGATAAGTTTTTATTTCATTTTTTTCATCATTGAACAGTGTGATAAAATTATTGTTATTAGTTGAATAAAACTATTAATAATTTTAAAACTAAAAAAAAAATAAACGAAAAAAAAAAAAACTAACAAAAGATAAACATTTTGATATATCATAGCAGATTCGATCAAGGTTTAACAATCGTCCACAAAGAAGACACAAGTATTGATGTGTTGATTTTCTGGCGCATAGACGACATTGTTGAAAGCAAGATAGTAAAAATATTTCACAGTAATTTTGTGATGGTTTTATAAGTGTAAATCGACGCCATATTAATGGTTCCATGCATAAACGCTTTAAAAATTTAAATATGAAACAATCATTAACAAATGAAAATAGAGCAGTAATAATAATAATAATAATAATAATAATAATAATGATAATAATAATAAGAAGAACAATTCGGAAAAAGTTTTTTTTTGTTTATTTGCTTTTGTTTTTTTTTTTCAAATGTTAATTAGCAGCGTTATTTATAATTACATATTACAAAGATTAATTAAATAATTAATTAATTATAAATGATTTGCATCCACATACAACAAATTTGAATAACGTAAATGATGAAATTTTAATGAACCGTTTTAAGCTAAAAGTTATTTTGCTAAAAAAAAAAATGAAATGATTAAAAAAATATTTTTTATTTTTTTCAATATATAATTAGAAGTTATTCGAAAAAATAAAAAATGAAATTTTAATGACATTTGTAACTTTTAATCAAAATTTAAATAATTGTATCAGAATTGAGATAATTTTGAATAACAAAACACATATGTACAATCATAATATACCATATGAAAATATTCGTCATTAATCCATTGCATTACTTCTTTGGTCCATTTATCAATGCGAACTTCTGGTATTAATTGAGGTGAAAAATGAAAATCATTTTGACCTGTAAATTTTATTTAAATATTTCGATAGATTTAAAAAGTCATCAAAAATAGCAGAATAGTAAAATTATCATTAATCATACTACATTCAATCTAACCAATTTTACAATTAAATATAAAATTTTGTGTTTATTTTCGCTCCTTTTTTATCTTTTTTCATTATATATATATATATTTTTTTTTTTTGATTTTTGATTATTTGAAATTATTGCTACTAAAATAGAGTACAAAAAATTTACAACAAAATTTTTTCAACTTATTAAATTTTAAAAAAAAAAAAACTTTTTTTTTTTTCATTTTTGGCCTGTATGATTAGTTAAAATATTTATTGTTAGCAATAATTAATATAATTATATGTAAACTTAGGTAATTAATAAAGGTATACCTGTTAGCTGCTTGTAAATATTCATAAATGTTTCGTGGCCAATATGATAACCATTATTATAAACTAATATATCACATTCATGCCATAATTGTGCCGTAAGACGTGATAAATCTGTACAAGCATATCTCATTGCTTCTTCATAATCAAATTCAACCTTCAAAAGAAAATTAATTTTCAAATTTTGAATTTTGTTCAAGTTTAAAACTCATATGAAACTATACAAAACTATGTAAAAGGTATCAATTTTATTTAAAAAAAATGTTTTTAAACCCTTTTTAAGCTAAAAGTTATTTTGCAAAAAAAAAAAAAAAAATGCAATGATTACAAAAAAATATTTTTTATTTTTTTCAATATATATTTGAAATTATTCAAAAAAATAAAGGAAATAAAAGAAGAAAAAACAAATAAATTCTTAAATTTATTCCTAAATTTCAATAATTAAAAAAATTCAAAAAAAGAAAACACACCAAATTACGTGATAAAATCCTGATAACATCTACAGGTGGTATCCAATTTTTTGAAATGATTCTTTTAGCAACATTTTTCATCACATAAATAAATATCTACATAGATAATAAACGATTGATATATAATTGAAGAAAAAAAAAAAAAAAGAAAAGATTAAAACAGTAAAATTTTCGTTTAGTTGTTACTATTTTTTAAATATGCTTGGGATAATTAAAATATTAAAATTGTTAATCAGTACATATGCAAGAAATAAATATTTAAATTGATTAAATTGATATTCGTTATTAAATTCATATTTTCTGTGCTTTTCAAAAAAATCATTTAAATATTAAGCAAAACTTTTAATAAGTTCTTATAACAAAATTTGATTATTAAAATAATCAATATGTTATCAACTATTGTTTTAAAAAATTTCCTCTTATTTTTACAATATGAAAGATAATTGTTTGCATTTGAATAAATAATAAAATTTTACAATTTTACTACATATGTATTTATTATAAATAAACAATCAAAATCACAAAACTGTAAATAATTAACAATTTCAGAATGTAGAATGATGACAATGCTATTTGCAAAAGTTTTGAAAAAAATTAAAAAATAAATTTTATGAAATTTACAATTACATTAAATAAATTATTACATTATCGCTAGATGTTAAATTTAATACTGATAATGCTTGTGGTAATGGCATACGTATCACTGATAAAATTGCTGTACGAATCATTACTGCAGCTAAGATCATTTGATAGATGAAACGAAGCATAACTAAAATTTTTTAAAAATGAAAATTATTTTTATGAGTAAAAATTTATTTACAAATTTTTAAATAATTAAAATAAAACCTCTCTTTTCGTTAATCACTGAACAATCACTTGTGATAATATAAATGCTAAGACGAATTAAGGTTGTTTTCAAATCGAATAATACCATTGGCATATTCATGTTTTCTTGCTCCGTTCTGCTTGCTTCAGTAATTAGCTAAAAATTAATAAATGACATCAATAATTTAAAAAAAGAAAAATTTCAAGTTCAAATGAGAATAATAATAGTATCAGTAATAATAATAAATCATTTAACGTTTAGATATTTTTTTTTTTCTTAATTTCTATGCTATTTATTTTTCAATATTTTTAACATATTCAAAAAAGAAATATGTACATATAAGAAGGAAAAAGAAATTTAAAGAATAAAAATAAAATATTTTTGCAAAAAGACAAATAAATTAAAATTTATAAGAGTCTACTTTTTCTATTAAAGTACTTTTTTCTGTAATTTTCAAGAACAATTAATAAAATTTGAGCTAATTGAAGTCTAATTGCAACTAAGTGTAGCAAATTTTATCTTAATTACAATAAAATTTATGCTAATTGCAACTGTTTAAGCTAATTGCATTTATTTTTTAATTCCACTAATATAAATGAAATTGAATTTAAGCAGAGCTTAATACTTTAATTAAAATAATTAATAATTATTCGATGATGTTTATAATTATTACAAAAAATATCAGCAACTTGATGCTGTTATTAATATTTTAGTATAATTTTGAGATATATTTGAGATCAATTCTTCAAACTATTAATATGTTCTTTTAATAGTTAATCAATCAATAAAAAAAAAATCGAAATTTTTGTCATTCATACAATAAATCAGTAAATGACTATTTTGTGAACAAACTTTGAAAAAAACAAAAACAAATAAACAAAATAATTTTAGGAGAAAAATAAAATTATATACATTTGATTCAAGAGATTCCATAAAATTAGAATCAGATTGAATGGATTCATCCGATGCTGTAGGATCAAAACCAAATGTTAGCTCTTTCCATTCATATTTTGCAAATTCAAGATCAATCGCATCACTATAATATCGTCCGCCATAAATTACGAATTCTAGAAATAAGCAATCTTTTTTTAAACTTTTTAATTTGAACATAAAAATGATATAATAGATGTACAAATAATTTGTTACATCAAATACTAATTCTAATACTATGATAATAATAATAATGATAATAATAAAAATAATGATAATAATAATAATAATAATTATAATGTGATAATGGTTAATAATTTTTTAATAATTATTTACTAATTTATAATAACAATAAGTCAACAATTAAAGATACGATAATAATTACTAATTTATGATAATAAACTATAATAATTGGAGATATTACAATAATTGATAGTTTTCGATAATTATTACGATTTGATAATAATTAGTAATTGCTCGTAATAAGTGATAATAGTTAAAGACATGATAATAATAATTTATAACAATAATGATAATAATTAAAGATATTACAATAGTAATATTTGATAACATTTAGTAATTTATGATAATAATAAGTGACAACAATTATAGATATGATAACAATTAGTATTGTAGATATGATAACAATGGCTATAACAAATGATAATAATTAGAAATATTATATGATTAGTAATTTTTCAATAACAATTAGTAATTTATGACAATAATAAGTGATAATTTGTGATGATAATAATTAGTGTTATCACTTCTATTACTTATCTATGCATTAATGATAGTTTAATTTCTACCAATAAATATTGCCATGCTGATTTAATAATGTGATAATAACATTTGTAATGAAAATTTCATTAAAAATTAAATTGTTTTTATGAATAGGAGAAAAAAAAATGCATACTCGTAGGTAGTTCAGCATTAGGTAATTGTGAAAAGTTTAATTCTGACGATAAAATATTCCTCTCACATTTACCTCTGCAAAATAAGCAATTAATTAATACTAACAATAGTTTGAGAATCCTAAAAATAATTTTAATAATCAAAAATGGAATCACAAATGATAATTATTCATAAATATATTATTTTGTTTAATTGTTATGAAGTAATCAAAAACAATAATTGTTCAATTTAGTTTAACTGTTTTCTTATTTCGGTATAGAATTTCCGTTTATTGATTACATTTCAGATCATTGCTTATTGTATAAAAATAATAAAGAATACAACCTTAATATTACAATTTTAAAATTTTATTATTATAAATGAACAATATTTAGAATTATATGATAATACTTTATTATTATGATTCTTAAATCTTAATTTTAAAAGTTAACATTACATAAACTTGTTTGGCAATTTTAATTTTTAAATTTTACATTCAAAAAGAACAGTACATCAACCTGTACGACAACCTGTACAATTTCCAAATTTCACTTTTAGAAATAGACAATATATAAACCACCTTTCTCAAAATTTTTAAAAATTTATTTTTTTTTTAAAAAAAATGAAGATATACATGAACAAATAAACGATGATAATACTTCAATTTTTATTTTTATGATTACAAATAAAAAAAAATTTTTACTTTACAATGCCAATTACAGAAGGTTGAATTCTCATACCATCGTCGCAATGTCTGTCACGCCAATTATCTGTCCACTTATGACATACAGCAATAAAATTTGAAAATAAATCACCATATATCGTACTTCCACACTCTTCATCAGTCCAAAAAGAACATAAAAAAAAAAGCATTAAATGGTCAATCAATCAATCAATCAATCAATCAGCTAATCAATCAATCAGTCAGTCGATCATTCAATCAGTCGATCAAGCAATCAGCATTATATGTAATTGTAATCTAATTTGTTTTAAAATAAATGATATACCTAATTGCATACCTCTTCACTTATTTGATCAGCACCAGAGCATATTAAATTATCGATTGTTGTAGTAAGTAATACTTTACTTGTATCATCATTAAGCATATGCAATCTGTGTAAATATTTTTACTATTATTAAAAATTAAACAATTGTAATAAATTAAATTAAAAAAAAACAAAAAAAAACAAAAGGCAAAATCAAATTAAATTAAATTTTTTTATCAGAAGAAAAAAAAGTGAAGGAAAAAAGAGCAGAAATCAACCATCTTTTATTGAAAATTAATTTTCTGCATTAATAGGGCGATAAAATAATAATGAACAATAACTTCACAAATTATAATAAGTAAAAATAATGAAAAAAAAAAGCGATTAAATTAAATTAAAATATTTTTTCTTTAAAAAAAAAAAATAAATAAAAAATAACCGTTTTCGTTGAAATCTACGTTTGGGAATAATAGGTAAAAGGCAATGAGCAATTTCATAACATGCTGGACATGGAAGTTTCACTGACCATAACAGTGGAATGGTCAGTGAATAGGGATCACGCTAAAAAAAAAAAGAAAAAAAAAACTTTTTTTTTCAAAATGTAAATTTTGCTAATCAGTAATAAAATATAAATAGCTAAAAGTAAAAGTAAAAGTAATTAATGTTTTTATTTGAGAAAATAAAATAAAAGGAAGAAAGATATTTCATATAATGCAATAACAATAATTTCATTTCATTTAAATAATTTAAATAAAGTTTTTTTTTTTTCCTTTTGAAATACACCTGTGTAATATTTGTAGCTATTAGGCATTAATTAAGGAAATTACAGAAATTTTGAAATTATTTCTATCTCAAAATATTAACATTAAATTACTTTTGATTTCATTTGTTTTTTTATAATTTTAAAATTAAGTTATTGTGCTAAAAATAATAAATTTTGACATATATAAAAAGTATATAATTTTAAAAAGGCATAAATCTTTTTTATTCATAAAGATTACTATCTAATTTATATATGTTTATTTTAGTCCAATAATTAAAATAATATTAAGAAATTAAAAAAAAAAAAAAAAAAAAATGATTCAAATATTATTCAACAGATTAATTAATAATAAGTCAAAATTAGAATTAATAGATTTCTTATATACCAATTGCAGATCAGGTCATATTTTAAGAATAAAAAGCGATAGAAATGATAAATATAATTTATTTTCTTTTACTCTTTAAGTAATTATTTTTTATCATTTTTTTTTTTTTGTCAGATAATAGTACGTTAATAATTTCTAAAAATTCAAAAATTTTCAATCAAATTACGAACATATAATGGTCCAATATAATTTCGAAAACATTTAAAGTGCGCATAATGTCCACATGTTTTGACATCAATACCACTAGGAACATAAACTAAATTTGCATATTTTGGTGAAACCTGTAAAATAAAAAGAAAATGAACGAATGAAATAATATTGGAATTAAAACTTTATGCTAATTAGTTAAACAAATGATTTGATTAATTTTTTTCATTTTTTTAATTTATCCATTTTAATAAAATATTGGATTTAATGAAATTAAAATCATTCATTATTAATTTTCTATTATCGAGATTCTTTGTAATTAATACAGTTTTAGTTTAAATCTTCGCACTTTTTTTTTAAAAAAATACTCTTTTTTTGCATCAAAATTTAGCAAAAAAAAAAAAAAAAAAAAAAAAAAGAAGAAATTAATAAATAAAAATAAAAAAAAAAAGCTAACAACAGTTAGGTATCTCCATAGGGCAAATTCAAATTTTTGCTTCATCATCTCAGTTACACAAATGCCTGCTTTACCATTCATATCCATTAATGATGAGTAATCATTAGGTGATAATGAGTAATCAGCTGATAAACTACGTTCAATAGCTAAATAAGTTAATCTAATTTATCTAACACATATTGTAACATTTTTTAAACTTTTTTAGTTGTTTTATATTAAAAATAAATAAATTAGATAAATATTATTATGAATAATTTGATAGAGCAAAGTGAAGTAAAACATGAATATGAAATATGATTCACGATTAATTAGTTAATTAATTAATTAATTAATTTGATCAGTTAAGATTATCATGAGTTTTATGAGTAGAATGAAGCAAACATTTGTATAAAGCATTCATTTGTTTAGATAAATTTGACAAAAAGTGTAAAGTAAATTGTGGGTTAATGACTTTTCAATATGTTTATCAATATGATAAAATAGCCAATGATAAAAGATAATAGAAGGAAGAGAAAGAAAAATTCATCATTAATTACTATTTGTTAAATAAAACAAACAGAACAGACCATAATTAACAGTTACGCGACACAAAAGTCCAATAGGATACATCGATGAGTTCAATGTTATATTATTGCAAATTGAACAGAGATATTCTGATGGTATCGATGGCAACTGAAAAAGAAAACAAGAAAATATTTTTATAAAACATTTACAATGATAAATTCTAATTTCTTAAAATTATTTTTAATTATAAACCAAAATTTTTGTTAAATTTTGATAATAAATGAGTTGATAATTCTAATACATATTGGTGAAATTAAAAAAATGAAATGATATTTCAAAATAAGTTTAAAGTAATGACAATTTGAATGCGAATAAGTACACATTTTAATGAACAAGCAGCAAACAGATCAATTTGCCTAATTAAAAATTTTTCAGAAACTATTGTCTTAATTAATTTGGCAATTGTCATAACAATGATAATTAATCTAATTAATTTAAGTCTTACCTAATAGAAGATAAGTCTAATTATACTTACTACTCTTGCAGATATCGATACACTTCGTGTAGATCTCGACCTTCTTCCCGCAGATCCTGGCATTCTTACCTCAGATCTCGATGCCCTTTCCGCAGATACTCCAATTCTTGCCTCAGACCTCGATTCTATTTCCGCAGGTCCCGGCAGCGATGCTTCCATAGATCCTCCTTCTTCTTCCGCTGATCCTGATATTTCCATAGATCCTCCCCCTGCTCCTTCTACAGATCCAGATTCTTCTTCCGCAGACTCCATTGCTTCTTCCGTGGATTCTGTCATTTCTTCCGCGGATTCCATTGCTTCTTCTGTAGATTCTATCATTTCCTCCGCAGATTCCATTACTAATCAATTTTCCTCTGAACTGCTTGCAAAACCTGAAAGCACTCAACATGAAAAGAACGGTATTTCCATCTAAGACATTGTCGTAGTATTTGTTACAATGCATTTAAGACATTTGTATTATCTATATTTGCATCGTACATTTCATTTTCCGCCATATTCTTTGATCTCTAAAAAGTATTTTTGGATATGCTCGACGCTACTGTATGCTTGATCGAATCATTACTGATTACTGATAAGATGGACAATGAATGGATTTTTGTAATATAAACTCAAAATTGCTAGTTTAATAAGAATTAGATATGCAAATTAATAGAAGCATTAATGTTCAGCACATATTTTGTGTACTGAACAATAGCTAGGCTCGTATTTCAGGCTCATATTCACTTGAGCCAAGCATAGTTGTTAACATCGAACTAAAGAACTTGGCCAAAATTTGAAGGCATCCATCCGTTGGCTGTTAATGTGAATAAATATTAAATTAATTTTGCAGTCAAAAACAAATTTCTTCAAATATTTATTTTACAATTTGTATTTCTGTTTCTGCCACAAATAAGTCTGTATGCTAGACAAATAAGCAAACACTTAAATGTTCGGTAAATAAGGCTGTAATTAAAACAAAAATACTTTGTTGTCTTTTATTCAGAGCTATTAATGCCACTGACATACAATGCAAATAGTAAAAGTATACCACAGAATATATCAAAATAAAACTTTGAAACAATCAAAGAAATTTTTAGAATTTAATTGAAGCAATAACAATACAAATCTTTTCAAAGGCTTTCGTTAAATTCTCTGAAATTCTGGCACTAAAGGTTAAAAGGTTAAATTCTAGAATGAATTCGCTTAAATATCCCACATCAAATGACTATTTTTTGGAGTATTTGAGAAAAGCGATAGCATTTGCATAGTTCATTTTAGAATAATACAATAGAAAATGCTGGATTACAATTTCAAGGAAAACATTTTAAAATTACATTTGTATGAACTTTGAAATTTGCTAATTGAGATAGTCTAATATTTTCCGTTTCCATTACCTGTGTTTGCTTTTCTCCTAATTCTGTATTTTAAAAAAGTACATGATGGAATTTACGATAATTTACTTGAATATTTTCTTCAAGTACGAAACAAGTTTGCAGCTAAATTAGAAATTTAAGCTGAAATCTCAGTCATCAAATAAAATGCTGTCTAAATTTTTCATTTAATCATTTTCGAAAACACTTAAATTTCTGAAATAACCCTCGTTACATTACAGGTACTCACATCAAAATTACCTTTTATTTTATGCTCCGCAAGAAGGAGAAGAGTTAAACAAGTCTAATCCCATGCAGCATTTTAATTAGCTGATGAATTGATCAGTCAATTGATTATAATTTATAGCTAATTAATAGCAGTAAAGAAGAAAAACAATTTAAAATATCTCTTTAGGTACTAACTGTCAAAATAGGTTTAAATACTAATTATTTTTAAAAAAAAAAATGTTAAAATAATCAATTATCTAATTAAGTAGTGCATCATAAACAGTTTAAATAATAGCATTAAAACTAAACCTAAAAGATATTTATGTTATAATCAAATAACTGTGCAAAAAAATCACTGATGAAACATTTTTTAGATCATTTTAAGCATAATAGTTTACAAAGAAAATATAAAATATTTCTGTATTAGGCATTATTACTACTGCGTTAATCAAATTTTCATAGCAAAATAAAAATTTCAATAAAAATTCTTCCACCAATTTACATCATAATCTAATAAAATATACAGGTAAACATTGGTCCTTCTAAAAACGAATTTTTGTAGTATAAATTAGGAATTTTTTTTTTTTTGCGTGCAGGTAAGAACTATGGAAATTTATCACTAACAAATATAATATATATAAATTATAGATTGTTTTTATGTAATATACAGCTCAGCAATGAAATTATTGTTTTTCCTTATTTGCTTGAGATTTATTTATTGCATAACTCCATGCAAATCAAATGTTTATCAATTAAGCAAACTTCTTAAAACATTTAGCAAATTTCTCTATTCCTTAAAATATTGCGACGTAGCGACATATTTAGATTATAAGAACATTTATCTTTTTCTACACAAAGATAAAAAATATTCAATGAAGCTAACCAATAAAAAGAACAAGGAACACCGGATAAAAAAAATTTCAAAATAATAAAAACTCATAAAATCCAAATACTAAGCAGAAAAAAGGAAATCAGCTAGCCATGGTTTGGAAAATAAATTAAAAAACAAAACATTATGGTTGAACGCTAATTTATAAATTAATACCTTTATGCATTTAAAGTTGAATAAATACAATTTGTATATGGAAAGGCAAAATGTTTTATAGTAATCCCGAAGCCAAAGATTGAAGTTATGTTCCAACTGAAAGTATATCAGTTTATTCAATATGTTTATTTCCATGATTTATGTGAGACTTATATTTAATATATTCAGCTTTTAAAATAGAAACACAAAAAACGAACATACGATTGCAAATCTTACAATCGTTTCTCATTTCCAAACGCTTAAAATTTCTTCAACAACTAATTCAAAAAGCAAAAAATAAAATCTTTTAGGAAGCGATTCAGGATTTTCTAACATTATTTAATACTTATGAGTTAAAATAACACAATTACAAAGCAATCAAGAGGAATAAATGGTCATACTGAAGAAATAGAATTCCAAGGATTATCTCAAAGACTGCCTAAAATTCTCATGATAAATCATCATTAACTCGAACATAAATGATGCAGTGCTAATCACTTTCTATTGAAGCATGTAATGAGCATCACGAAGATAAGATATTAGATCATCAAAATTGAAAAAATTCACGATTAAATGTTCAAATGACTGCATCATCCAATCTGCAGTTAACTTTTCAATACGACGTTTCGATAAAAATAGCGGTTTACCTCGTCTAAAAAAAAAAGAGAAAATAAGAATTTCTGTATTTTTTAAAAAGAATGAAAAAAAATATTAAAGTTTCATAATAGAAAAGAACCTTAAATTACGGTCTTCCTCTCCATGAGCATCCAAATAAACCGAACCCCAAAGTGCTGCCTTTCGATTACAAACTATCACAATCAGTGAGGTATTCAATGATAGAAAACATCCCACACCGCTACTACAAATTAGTGCGTGCTAAAATTGAGTGAAATTATTGTTGAACAAGAAATCTGCCACAAATATTTTATATTATTATACAGATATTATTCTAATTTCCAACAGAAAAATTGATTTTCTCTTGGAAGTTTCTAATAGTGTATAAATGACATAAAATATTATCCTATTCATAGTATTTATATACTTTTGATAAAAAAAGAAAATAATAAGATATATAATGATTAGTGCTTCTTTTTTTCCTTACAACAACGGATAAAGTATTTCTTTGCAAAACAACATTCTTTTTTCTCAAAGAAAACTCTCTTCATATAATTAAAATTTGCTTATAAATCAATCTATAGATTACGATTTTAAAATTATTCATTTAAAAATGTAAAATGATTACTCGTTCCACTTCATTTGCAGAAATAGTTTCAGTGGCTGATGTTGTGCAACAACTATCCAAGCATGAGAGTTGACCACAAAGAAGACAAATAAATGGCATTCGAGGGACTAATCCACATGCTATGCAAGGAACTCCGAAAAATCGAGCAAATAAGTCATCGTAACTTTTTGGCAATGTAAGAAGCGTGAATCTACGCCATCCTAGTGGTTCCTTATGTAAATCCTATAACATACTGTAGAAAGAAGGAGTAAAAAAGTATAATTTGATAAATGCGTACATTATCACTTGAAATTATTAAATTCCTTTATTTAAAAAAAAAAAATTAATACATTTTGACATAATATAAATTGCAAAAAAATATATGTTATAAAAGAACGGAAAAATCTACAATGGTTCATTCAATGATTATAAAATTATGCAACAATTCATACCTCTATGAAATTTTTGCAGCTAATCCATCGCAGTACTGCATCGACCCATTTTTCAATATGAGCATAAGGTAAGAATTTAAGAGAAAGTTCGTCATTATCTGTAATTAATTATATTAAATAAAAGATAAATGTGAAAATATTCAGTGATAACCAGGAATTCCTAATTCATAGTCAGTGAAAATATTTGAGAATATTACGAGATCGATTATCTAATAAATTAATTATCACTAGTAATGCTCAATTACCAATGTATGCTTTTAATGCATTTAATAAACATGGCTCAATTAGCACAATATTTCCTAAATTATTTGTCTTCTGTTTTCAATTATCACTTTAATGGTAAATTTAAATATTATAACAATCAGCTAAATGGTAGCTGCAGTAATATGAAAGAAATACCGATCATCAATAGGCAATATACAAGATGATAACCATTTCTATTTAAAAAATACAAGGTTTAAAAATAATTAGTATTGTCAGCATAATTAATATTGTCAAATAACTACTTCGATTTAAAAGATAGTAAAATTGAAGATAATTAGTATTATCAGCAACTTATAAAAATTTATATAAAACGAGTACTTGTCAGCAATTTATAAATTTCCATGAACGTTGCACGACTAATGCAATAATCCTGATCACATTTATATATACCACATTCATGCCATAATTGTGCAGTAAGACGAGATAAATCTGCACAGGTATAATGTAAAGCTTTTTCAAAATCCACTTCATCCTTAAATTTTTTAATTTTAAAAATTTATTCTGAGAAATCTCTAGTATTCAGAAGCTTATCTACTCCAAAAATATTTCATCAGGAATTACTGAAGAATTCTACATTCACAATTTTGCACTATAATGAAATTCAACCAAGTTTGTTATCAAACTCACTCCATCTTCTAATAAGATATTTTCTGCTTTCAGATGACGAGAAAAAAGTCTGTTTATAACATTTTTAACAGCAAGTGTAAATACCTGAAAGAATAATTTCGATGTTAAACACTTAAAATTCAACTAAGAATTCAAAAATCAGAAAAAAAAAGTGAAGCAAGCTGACAGTAATGCATCATTGTAATTAGCATGAAATAAATGGAATTGAGTGTTACAAGGATTTTATGTAAACTAATACCTCATTACTCAATTTCAAACTTTCTGTTCTCCCCAGCTGTGATAACGGCATATGCAAGGCTGCCACAATCGCTGTACGAACAATTCCCGCATACAGAATTACCTGGTAAACAAATGACAATAAACCTGAAAAGCAGAAAATAAACAAAGCTTGAAACAAAATGAAGTCTGGAAGAATTTTACAATCTAATTTTAGGCTCAAATCAATTTTTTAATAAATTAAAAAATAAGTTTTCGAAGAATAAAATCAACCGGAAGATTCTGTCATAAATTAAGAAAGAGAACAATTCAAAATGTTGAATTTAGACATGACCAATAAAAAAAAAAAAATGCAAATGAAAAAAGAGAAAAAATATCCGAATCATTTGGCGTTAAATATTCAGTATATTTATTTTGTTTACAGTAACTGTTGAAATAACAAACTTTTCTTATCTTCATTGGTCAAAGAATCACTCGTGATGATGTAACTACTGATCCGAATCAACGTTGTTTTCAAATCAAACATCACCATTGGAGTGCCTGTCTCTAGTTCTATTTCCTGATTCATACGCATTTTTGCTACTTTCGCCTCAACTGTAGACTGAAATTAGTTTAAATCAAAACACAAAAAAGAAAGAAGTTTGTATCAGAAGTAATACCTTACTTCAAAATTAAATTTTCTCACTAATTGATTGACAAAGATTTGCGTTTTTTCATTTGATTTCTTTATCTCCTAAATAAAAAAAATGAAAAACGAAAAGAAAAAACATAAAGAAAATTCATACTGATGCCAGAATATCCGAATCATTTGGCGTTAAATGTTCAGCATACTGTTCTTCTAAAGCATTTTCTACTGATGGCTGTTTCTGGTGAAATCCGAAAACTAGTTGCCTCCATTGATAGATTATAAAACTTATATCACGTTTGATCCCCTGATGACGTGCTCCATATATGATATGTTCTATAACAAAAATAATACATTTTACTTTTTTAAGAAATAATAAATTATGCATTTGTAAATAATGTTACAGAATTTTCAAGCATATATAAACCTATATCACGTTTGGAGAGTACATTCCTCAATGTATTTTTGTACCTATACATATAGATGGATAATATAACTATACCAGATGTTTTACTTATGTCATTTTTTAGTTTTTTTTTTTTTTTTTTTTTATCAATCAGTTTGCCATAATATTTTCTCCATATATTTGAAACTCCCAACTTGATGCTGTACCAAACTTTAACACTAAGAGCATGAATATCAAATTAAATGAAGATGTGTTTTAAAATAAAGTAATCAAACTAATATACCTGCCGGTAATTCACGGCAATAGCGATCAGAAAAATTTGACTCAGATAATAAAAGATTTCGTTCCAAATTGCCTCTGAAACGGATGCAAAAATTGACTAGTTTCACTGAAAAAATAACGTTAAATCAACGTAAGCAATTAGTTAGAAAAAAAAATCAACAAACAAAATATCACTTTGCAAGTCCGAAAGCAAAAATTTGCCCTCTCCTTGGTGTACTTTCGCTGAAATTACCACGGTAAATTGTCCATTTATGACATAACGAGGTAAAATTTAAAAACAATTGCTGATATGCCAAAAATTTCGACTCTTCATTTCCCTATAAATTCAAAATTTAGGACTCGATAGGCAAAGAAAAAACTGTTTAATATTAAACCAATTATCCAATTATAAAATAGTTAAAAAATGAAAGGAAAGTTAACAATGAGTGATCTGTCGGATTTGTGAAAAAACTAAATAGTACTTTTATTGAATGAAAGGCATCTCAGAGGGAAAAAAGCAAAATATGAAAAAAAAAAGAAAACAAAAAAACAAATACAAAAGAGCATCAGAAAAGTAAAGTGAAACAAGGCTTCACATATTAGGCGATCGATTAACCAAATGAGATCGCTAATGTATTAATCTGTCGCTAGCTATTAATTTATTCCAAAACATATGAGATACAGTCATATAATAATACGCCAAATGATCATATATTATCAACTCACCTGCATATGGGAGCTGTCAGTATTTATAAGCCTTTCCACTTCCTTCGCTAACTCAGCATAATTATTTTCTTGATAGGATACACCAGGTCTACAACAATTTTAGAAAAAAATAACAAAAAAAGAAAAAAAAATTTAACTGAAATAAAGTGAACAATCACATCACAGTTTAAACAAACCGTATTCTTTCAACACCGGTATCTGGAGCCAAAGGAAGTAAAGTGTGAACTGGTGCACGGCATAAAGGGCATGAAATTTCCATTCGCGCTTCCAATGGGTCAAGTGATGGTGGTGGACTTTCCTGAAACAAAATTTCACTTCGTTGTTGCAATTATGGAATTATGAACAGAAAGTAAACAAGCAGTATTTGATAATTTGAATGAAATAAAAACAAACAAGAAGTGTTTGAACATAAGCTTTGTAGCATCCAACATGCGCATAATGACCACATGTGCGAACTTCAATACCAGTTGGAGCTTGAATGAGATCTGCATATTTCGGAAAACGCTGAAAAAGAATAAGGAAATTTAGAATATCATACAAATCAATCTCAAGCCTATGTATTTTCATAGAACTAATTAAACTAACTGCATATTGTCGTTATACATTCAAATTTTATGAATATAAAATTAACAGAACTCACCGTTTGAAGAAGAGAACGACGTGAAGCGCTGAAAATCTTCAACATCATGCGATTCGTATGTACACCTTTTTCTCCTATTTCCATGAGTGACAACGATGGACAATCTTCAGGTAAAGAGTGCTCAACAGCTAAAAGACAAATTAATTATTTGTTTAAATTTTCAACAATATTATGGCTGAAGAATTGGATTTGCTTCAGATAAGGAATAAGATAATGTGTACATGTAGAAATGTCATTAAAATTATACACGACAGGAAGTAAACCTTATCATAAAATTATATCATCATAAAGATATCATAAAATTTAAAGAAAGAAGAATTACACACCTAAGAACAAAACCGATCAGCAACTGAAGAATTACTTATTTTAAAATGACGTTAAAGTTCAGAAACCATCTGACAACAAACCGACTTTAAGGGAAAAAGTTACTGTGCAATTAAAAGAAAACCAGCCGTAATTAACAACTATACGAGACATCAATCCGATCGGATCAGCCAAAGTACTTGCTGTTGTATCATTGCAAATAGGGCATCTGTAATATCTTACTGGCGAATTCTGAAAAAAGGAAAAAAAAAAGCATGCAAGAAAGATATTTTTATACAAAACTCAAAATTTAAGAAAATAAGTTAAAATCTAAGAAAATAAGTTAAAATCTCTTTTTATACAAAACTCAATAAGAAAATAAGTTAAAATAAGTTAAAATCTATGAAAAAAGGAAAAAAAAAAAATAAGAAGCATCTTTAAAGTTAAAGAACTCTGAAAAAAATTTTTTTTCAAAAACTACTTTCAGTGTACGCTACTTTGCTGCAAATAATTCGACAAACTAATTTACCTAAAATCTTAAAAACTTTGATCAAAAAGTAAAATAAGTTAGCAGTAACCTCTGTAGTATCCATTGCATCCATTTGAGTCTGCGTCAATCCTTCCTTTGCCATCAACTTCTTCATTAATATAGCGTTTTTCTTCTTATGAGCTATCATTAAGGCCTAGAAGTGAAAGTATTACGTATTATCAAGATCACAACGATAGCAATCTCTTTTTGATTCCAACAATTTTTGAACTATAAAATCAAAAATGGAAATATACAAGTCTGTATAAGGACTATTAAATGTAAACAGCAATTTTTTATTTTTCTTATTAACTTAAAATAAACCTCTTGACGACGTTTTGCAGCTGACCGATGAGCCAATTTTGAAGGAGAATCACCACAATGCTTTTTCTCGAGCTTATCTGATTTTAACATTTCCACTTGATGTTCAGCAATGAATTTATCCAAAACGTCCCGTATTTTTTCACAACTAGAAAAGATTGATGAAAGTTGAAATATGTAAAAATTTGAAAGCCAGAATGTTCATGAACCTTCATTTTTTTTTTTAAATAAAAGTATTATGGTAGGATTTCAACTTATGGTAAAGCTTCCAAATTATTAGTAAAATATTTCTGAAACTATGAAAACACAGAAAGTAAGGTCAACTGAACTGGAAAAGAAAGCGACGGTGAACACAAAAGAATTAATAGACGAACTTGTGATGGAGTAAACAGAAAAGACGCCCGATATAATCAATAGCATAACCCGAAATGAAATCCAGCGACACAGGAACTAGACTAAGTTGTTTAGAAATACAGTGAGCCATGAAATGGTCATGTTCTGCACTAATAGCATTTTCGTTGTTCATTTTGCGCAAATATTCCAAAAGAAGTGTAATAACTGATGGCATTTGCCTGGAAAATAATAAAAGATATATCGAAAAATAGAAAATTCTTCAAGCGTTGCATTTTCTCATTTAGTGACTAAAAAATGAATCAGACTTTATGTCTCTCCTTTCATATTAAAAATTTTCGACTTTTAAAATTACTGGATTCTAAGTGGAAATGAAATTTACTACTTGTGATACATTGTAAATACACACATCTAAGTAATAATCAACCTAGAATCCAATGACATTCCATTGAAATAAACTGGATAATAATTACCTCCCTCCAAAGTCTGCAAAATCAGTGAACACTGACAGAATAGCAGAAACAGGATTTCTCTGACCACTTAATATTTCTTGCACAGACGATGGTAATTTTGATTTTTCCTCAGCAAAGCATGAAAATTGTTTTGACGTAACAAATTTGACCATTAACGTTAAGAAATAAACAGTTGTTTGAAAAATTGCTTCGTTTAATTGCTGATGCTCAACATACTGAAATATATATGCTACATAATAGCTAGAATTATTTTCTAATCTCTTCATTATGTATTTGTTAGACATTAAAGTATTATCATAACTTCAACCTTCTACAGTATCATTTATCTTCATTAACTTCAACCTTCTACTGACAGTATCCATTTATCTTTTGCGTATTCAATTTAAAACACTAATATGATTAGCTGCTATATAAAGATGAAAAGCTGAAAAATCAACTTACAGTATACAAAATCCTATGCAATAGGTTGAAAAACGACGGTGTTACGAGAAATCTCGCACTACGCGCTATCCAGATGTTATCAAATGAATAAAGACGATAAGGAATCCACAGATGATCACCAGAACGAGTAACTGTTGTAACTGTTGAATGCTTTGGTAAATTGCGTTCGCTGAAGAAAATTTCAAGCAAATCTCAGTTAAGTTGAGTGAAACAATTCAATTTAAAGCTAAAAAAGTTTTGCCACATATTATTAGCAATTAAAAAAAAAAAAAAAAAAACCGAAAAATGAGAATTTATTTTCTTAGCAAGCATAAAAGTTATTGTTTAACAGCTTTATTAATAATTTATTAATAAATGAATCAAAAATGAGGTGTAACAGTCAACATCTTAAATCTCACTCTGGAAGTTAAAGTGTTATACATAATCTGGAAAATGCAGCGGTCGGATGAATCTCATAAATGAAGTCAAACACATTGATGTCAAACTATTTTTATTTTTTAATTTGTCTACTAAAGCAACTTCCAATAATTTCTGATGCTAAATCATATAAATTACATATTTTCAGAGCGCATTAATGCATCGTTGTATTCTCGCGGAGTAGATGTTCGCATCCTGCAGAATACAGGATCGAAAAGAGTTTGCCATGACTCTACTGTCAACATGTAAACCCCCTGTTCAATATGACTCCCCTGATCAGGCTCACAATATACTGCCAGCTGAAACGATTAAAAAAACACACATAATCTAGAATGTCTCTAAAAGAGAAACATTTCGAAAAACATACGTTTAACATGAAAAAAAAAAAAAAAAAAATGAATTATAAATTACAAAGCAACAAAATAGAAACGAAACATTTTAAACTTGAAAATGTGCAAAGAACGGTTTTGTGAAATTTTGCCGAATTTTTGTTGAAGTATTAGCTAACGGAAACAACTTTTCAAAAAAAAGAGAATATCTGACAAGATCACAGCAATACTATAGCAAATCCCAAATCCTACCAAAAATACAAACCTTTTCCAATGTACTGTCAAATACTTTGTCATCAACAAACGGTCGACTACCTCTCTCAGGAATTGCTGCTTTCAATTTCGAATGTGTCAGATCGCTAACTGCAAGCGCGGCGACAATTTCGTTCTCTAGACTGTTCGAAACATTCCCATCCATATTCCATTTTATAACCATAATATCCAGCAGAAATCTTGCAGAAAAAGTATATTAGAAGATTTGATATTTTAAACATATTGAATCTTAAATAATAGGAGGAAGAAAGAATCTTGAATATAGATATCCCGAATACTTTATTTCTGCTGCAGTGGCTACATAAAGTTGACTTTACAATTTTCCCAAAAATTTTTCAGTAACAGAGAAGAATTAAAATTCCGACCATACTGAAATGAAAAAAAGAAAAAAATAATTAAAAATTGCAGAAACTAACCTCAGAATACCATCGATCAAAAAATCTACCCATTCTTTTCGTGTAACTATTCGTCTTTTCTGTGGAAGAAGAACAATGTCATCTAAAAGGAAACCACAAAGTACTAAGCAGTCATCGACATAAAAAGCTGTGCTAACAATTTCTATAAACCATTCCGTGTCCACAAAGCACGCTATAAATCTGAAATATTTAATATGAAATACAGGTGCAAATTTGATGTCAGTGAATCTGTTTATCATTCCTATATCCAAAATTTACTTCATATTCAAGAACATGCTCACATATGTTATAAGACCTTATAAGAATATTAAATGAATATAAAAAATGCCTAATGCAAAATTAATTTTCTACTTGATTTAACCAAAACCAGTTAATGATATTGAAAAAGCAGTAGTGTTTATTTCAGCTGATGAGAATGAAGGAGCAAATTACATTCTCTGCAGAGAGCTAAATAAAAACAAGTAAAAAAAAAGAAATAGGAAGAATTTTGATACAAGAAAGCTATCTACATCAAGACTACTTTAAAGAAAAAATCAAGACTACTTCCATTCTATCGAGAATGCTAACTTGATAAGTGTTATATCGCAATCCAAAAAAGCAATGTTATAATTGGTTAGTGCATAGTAAAATGCCTGATTTCGAACCGCATTACCATTTCTTGCCCACATACCAGCTGATGCTTCCGCACGACATACCTAAAAAAATTCAACAAAAAATAATATACATTTGGAAATTATCATTCAAACTAATGTTAATAAGTAGACAAACTAACTTTTTCCATCTTTTAACTATGAGGAATTTTCTCAAGTTTAATAGGCCGATTTATAGAACTTAGATATGAAAGTTATGCTAGTATCACAAAAAAATAAAGACACGAAAAACTAACATGTATTCTCAGTGGATGAAAAACAGCTTTTCGAAGAAAGTCTTCATCTTCAATAAGGATATTCAAACAAGAAATGAATGCAGGTAATTCAATGCAACGCAAAATACCAGCAGACAAATGCCTGTGTAACGGGATATGATAACTTACGCAATACGGTTGAATGCATACATCGTTTTTTGTCAAACCAATAGCATTGAACCATTCCTTTAATCCAACAAATGTTTAAATTAATGCTCACTTAAGTTCGGAAGATAATTAATGCATGATAACCATAGAAACCATGATAACCATAACCATAGAAAGAATAAACTAATAAACCTCTAAAATGGTTTTCCAGTGAAGAAGATAAGTGTTCATGCATTCAGTTTCCACGGTTAATGCAGCTAAAGTATTGAACATATTCACAGCCGATACTTCCCATTCAAGATGAAATGCTAACTGGAATAAGCCTGATAAAGATCTAAATAAAACTCTTAACTCACAAAGCAATGTTATCTAGAATCATAATTACAGATGAGAAGCATATATAATAGAAGTACCTGATATGGATGAGCGGCATCATATTCCAGATGATTACCAGCGATTACTCGATAATTCAAATTCATCCCTAAATTTAGGCAGTTTTCACATTATTTTACAACCAATACAGCATCACAAAAATTAGTCAAAACATGTCCAACTTATCTTTCAAGATGATTTTTCAATGCCACCATATATTTTCCACTTTCCTGTCCATATTTTTCACTTATTTCGTTCAGATTCACTGATTTTTCATGAAGGTAAAATGATTCTAGATGAATACCTTGCATAGGTGCTATTAAAGCCACATAATTTCCCATGCTTTTCTTGTCACGAAAAAATCTTCGCGCAATTTCTCCATGTGTTAACAAATTTTGCAAATCATTAACGAGCGTCCAGTAAGAAGCTTTACGTAGCGGATTATTAGCATCACCCACGGAATATACAAACCATTTGAAGAGCTTATCGTCGTTTGTTGGAGGTGGCGTATTTTCATAGAAATATTCAAGTGCTAAAAATGTGAAATTCGATAAGTGATCGATTGATTTAGACATTCAGCACTTAAATCGAACACTGCAATGCTTAGATAGTTTCTCTCAAAACGTACACTATAAAATATAAAAGAATAAAATAAACTAAGCTAAATCTCCCAGTTAAATCGTCCAAAATATATGTATATTCGCCAAACATGATAAAACTGAACCTTGCGTTACAGTAGATTTTTGAACACCCGTCTTCAAAACACCGTAAGCACTTAAAATTATTTTATCTTTGAGGTTAATTTCATCATCCAATTTCAGACATTGAGCTTCACTCGAAAGAATCTGTAAAACAAAAGTTTAATGAAATTGCAGTGTACTATACTAAAATCTGGTAGAGAAGAGCTAAAGTTGAACTTTATTTCTTTTTTTTTGTAAAATCTTAAATGCACGCTACAGCATTGAACTTTTTCATAATTAAAAAAAAAGCACAACTACCTGTACAGAAATATGTATAATACGGCTACCAATGGCATATATAGCACTATCGCCTTCACTTTTGGAAAAATCAACTAAAATATCAGCAATACAAAGATATAACGAGAAAAATCGTTTCGCAAAAACATCCTGAAATTCTATACAGATTGCAAAGTTTTAATTAAATAATATTTGAAAATTATTCCAAAATTTGAAGTTTTGCATTCCGTAATTTCGTTTTTTCACGAAAAAAAAAAAAAAAAAAAAAAAAAAAAAAGCATTTAAAAAAAACTAAGAAACTAGCCAACCCTGTATTGTACATCCGATAGCAAACTCAGACATAGATTGATTATTATTTGTGGAAAAATGAGTCGAACCATCCAAAATATCAACTCGTCTAATAAACATTCCGGATCATAACAGGCATTAGTCTGATCTGAATCGACAATCGGCTTCAAGGACTGCAGATCTTCCAGAAACAGGTCACGTGTCCGCCAATCTAAGGAAAAATCGGGGCTCCGATCATGATCTGTAAATAAATGATGCTATAAATAAATGCCACTCGATAGAAAAACACATTTTTTATATATGCTGCATTTCCCTTTCTTTATAAGAAGACAATTCAAATCAGTGGCTTAAATAGTTCAGGCAAATATGCATTTCTGGCGAGACATGAAGCGAGATTTAACGAAGTAACGACAAAGTTTAAAAGTTCCTTCAAAAACTCAAATTCAAAACCATTTTTAAGATAACAAATCTCCACCTCTCATATCATCATCAGAACTGCGCTTGTTCAAATCATGATATAATTGACGATCTAGCAAGTTTCCGATGATGACGTCGCGAATAGGACCGCCACAATCAACCAGCTCCTAAATGTAAATCAAATTTTTTTTACAAGTTTGTTCAACAGTACCAATAGGACTATCAAGGGTTACCAAGATTATTTGTGTTAGCCAGAAAATAATTTTATTATTTGCCACTGCAAGAGTTCGTTTTTAAACTATTTGAAAAAATCACACTCTCGATTTCGCTATTAATGACTACATTTTGCTCATTTCACAACACTAGATGTTGGAGGAATAATTGTATGAATGATTTCAATAAGGGAATTTAGAAATTTGAAATTAAATCAGAGATTTTAGAATTCTAACAATCGAATAACCTGAATTAGTTCGATCAAAATATGTGCTCGATTAACAAGGTGATTACTGAAACTTTCTCTGCTAGAACCATCTTTACAAGCGTTATACTGCCTCGTCTAGAAATAAAATTAAGGTAAAACAAAATACCTGTAAAAAACTGGCCCATATCAGACTTTTTTGTTTCCTTCTTCGCTAAATTTCTTACCAACTTTTGCGCGCATAAAAGAAAAACAAAATTATGGCTCAGAAAAAGAAAAAAATGTTCCATACCCATAGGAGGGATAAAAGCCCAACATTTCAAATTTCAACATTCGTATTTTACATCAATTATCACTGATGATATCCTATAAATTAAAGTGGATAGAAAATAGAAGTTAACCTACCCAACCTCGAAAACACAGAAATAATCGAACAAAGAGTTTCGGGATAATAAATTCTCCCAGTGAAACAATATCAGGAGAGGGAACAGGTGGACGGCGTGCATTTGGTCCATGTCGAAAGCAGAACCTATAATAAATTAAATTAGATCTTTGAAATCAGTTATTTTCAAAGTGAAGAAAATTAGCTGAAGAAGTACCCAGATTCGTTTAAGACGTCCACATCTCCGCAATCACAGGCTCCACCAGCTTGTGAAAAGAAACGATTGAAATCATGCCCATCATGATTTGAATTCTTGAAGCAACTACTACATAAAGACATGCCTGAAAACCGTTCTTAAACTCTTTTTTTTTGCACTCTAACTCAATGAAAGCACATAAAGAAAAAAATTTTTTTTTTTCGAAATTATTTGATCAATCAGTATATGCGTAGTAAAAATAAATGATTGCTGAGTATATTTCACCAAGTTACATGCCTGAATCTAAGCTATTAAATTCACTATTTAATTACACAACCAATAATCAGTTTTCAAAAGCAAACAAATGATACATGGACTGAATGCACATGTGTTGCATCGATATGCAATAGCATCAGCTGACCAAACTGCGTTACATTTCAAGGAGAAGTCGTATTTTTTCACTGCAAAAAATAAAATAAAATATGGGAATATCGAATACATCTTGTCGTATCCTAAAATTCATCAGCTCTTGCTTCCACTACATTTTTTAAAGCAAATCCTATTGCATCTCGTGGGCTTGATTGCACAACTATCAGTGTAGCATGTCTTTTCGTGTAATAATGAAATGATAAGTGAAGAACTTAAATACAACAGCCAAATAATTCCTTATGGTAGAACTTAACGCCAAAGTGAATGATCAATTTCTATTACATGGCTTAATGATTTCCTTAAAATAATAAAACCATTCGTAAATTGCATGCTTTCCAAACAGCCATCAAAGTTTCGCTTTTTACTATCAGTTCTCAAATGCTATATCTGAAAATAGAAACTAGCTCATACTTTTGTCTTTGAAAGCGGCCGTTGTTAAACCCTGAGCAATCAACAAGCGCAGTTCATCACGAGTATCACTCTTGAACGGGCTAGCAACTGATCCACTAATGAGACTATCGAGTCGCGCTTCTAATGCACCTGCTTTCTCCCTTAATTTAAAGTGCATCCTTTTAATCTTTTAATTTTTAATTCTTTTTCTTCAATTTTAACTTTTTTTTTTTTCAAATGTGCATCATAATGCACACCAATGTGTAAAAACTGTCAACTGTAATTAATACATTTGTCCTTAAATGTCAGAACAAGAATTTGTCTCAAGTGTGTCAGAAAACTCTTTTTACCTAATATCTTTGGGCAATCTATCGCAGTATTTGCCACCGAATAGAGGGCATCCTTTTGCTCTTAGTTCATCACTGATTAATTTCAAATGCTTTGCCTCATTCATTTTTTCTTCCTCCTGGAAATCTGTGGACGATATTTATCAAATTATAAAGAATATGGATCGAAACTCTTTCCTCATTCTAAACAATTTCTTTCAGCTCATATCATTTATTTAACCAAAACTTTTTCTTAGGCCTTATTCTTTTTCTTGTTTTTAAACAATATTCAATAACAAAATTATGTGCCACATATCAATATTATATGGCATTAAGTAAAGGAAAATGAATATTAAAGATCTTTTCCAATGTTTAATTGCTCTAATACAATCAAAAAAAAAAAAAAAATTACCCAGTCATCTTCATCCATTCTCTCGTCAAGTCTGCCCCCACGTTTCGACTGACATGTTGACTCAGTTGATGAATCACCTGGATTTGGTACCATTACCTACAATTACGTGGAAAAAATTACATACTGTTTACATTCAATCAAAAAAACGTACATGAAACAAAATTTATGGACAATTTAAAAAAAAAAAATATATAAAATGACGCAAATGCAATTTCTAATATAGCACAATTAAATGCAGACAAAAGAAAAACCAAATGAAATAAATGGTTAAACATTCACTAACTTCATAAATATTTTGAATCGTTAAGATTGGACAAAGTATTGCAAGCATTAAAAAATGCTAAATAGTTTCAATTTGCTAAATTAAAAATCAAAAATTGCTAAACAGTAAAAATTTGCTAAATGAATCCACTCATAAAACTTGGTTCAATAATGAAAGTACTGAAGGAACATTAAGCTCTGAGATATTAAAAAATCATAGCATCCACAATTCATACAATCCACTGTGTATCATCGTAGCATATAGTGGTACGAATGAGAAAGTATTGGTTTAAAAGAGATAAGTTAGAAATCGTAACAGTTGGAGAGAGTGTGGGATAAAAATTCGAAATGCGGCTATTATAAAGCTTGGTATATTAGGAGAGTGCAGGACAAAGTAAGAATGTTGAAGGATTAGGAAAACAAGTTTAGAATGAGACATTGAAAAAATTAACAAGTGATTGTAGTAAATTCTGTTCGCAGAGAAACAGGATATAAGAGAAGTGTGTGATTTGAAGATTCGGTTAGGATTAGTAAGACATTTTAGAGAAATATTTCTGTGTATGATTTAGAAAGTTATAAAAGATTTTAGATTGCTATTTGCATCAGAGATTAGAGATTGAAGTAAGATAGTTGTAGCGTGGTCGTTTACGTTTGAGAGATTGGAGTAGCACAGCTGTGGTCTGGCCGTTCACGTCTGAGAGATTCAGGTGGCGTAATTATAGCGTGGTCGTTTACGTTTGGATTTTTATGGATGAGAAATGATTGAGAGATAGGAGTATTATATCAGTTGAATGTTACATCATGTCGGTGCAAATGATGTTTTATATTTTCGTGAATAAGCTTACACGTCAATTTTCTACGCAAATTGACATATTTATTGTCACGTAATTAATTTCTCGTATTAATTCATATATTAATTCGTGGCTGCTTAACAATCAATATGCTTTCTTTTTTGTAGGTATGGAAGGACGAAAAGTTTCTCCAGTACGTTCAGATAACTCGAAGTTGTTATCATCCCAATCTACTAATTATTACGCTAATTTAGCTGTTCAGGTTAATAAGTTTAGCAAGATGATGTATGTTTGTGTTTAGCAAGATTTTTGTGTAATTAGGAAATCAAAATTTCTGGGATTGAATATTGCTTTTTAGTTTTAAAAATTAATATTATTTGATTAAAATATTTAAATGTGAAGATTGTATTAAAGAGAAATTTTATTTGAAAAGATTTCCACTATTTATTAAATAAAATGATTGCAGGAAGGAGATGGACGGCTTTTCAAAATGGAAGTGGATTATAGTGCACAAACCGATGAGGCTTTGGCTAAAGCAGATGCTATTGCGAAGGTTGTTTGTAATTTTAATTGTTAATTTAAATTATTGACCATTCTCAGTGGTTATCTTGTCCCATTTTTTAATGGTCATCTGCTGATTATCAAATATAAGTATAGTAATGGTATCCACAAAATTTTATTGCGATTAAGGCTAGCAGCAACTTCCTAAGTTGATACGAGAGTCGGATTATTAATAATTGCGGAATTTGCTGATAAATGGTTTGAGTTGTAGAGTTGATCAAAAAGGATTTGTGAGATCCGTATAAAGCTGAGGAAACGAATATAACAAAAATAAATTACAGAGTGGTGATGTGCCAGCAGCGCTAGATTCATTATCAGGTTTGGAGAAATCAACAAGACTTGGATCAGATATGAAATCTAACACACGTATTGTTCAACATATGGTTAAACTCTGCTTTGACGGAGGCGACTGGACATTGTTAAATGACACTATTCTGGTGTTGTCTAAAAAACGTTCCATAATTAAACAAGCAATAGCTAAAATGGTTTGCATTTATATCTTCATCTGTTTCAGTAAGCTATCATTTTCGAGTTGTTATTTCAATTGCATGGTTATTAAGAAGATTGGAAGTGGCTCTCACTATTTTGGTCCAGAATCTAGAAGATTAACAGTTTTTTATTGTGTTATTTCAGGTACGCGACTGTTGTGAAATGATCGAAAAAACACCAAATGACCATACTCGTGACAAACTGATCGAAACTTTAAGGAATGTTACTGCTGGAAAGGTTTCCTTCAGTACTTTCATTTTCTATAAAGCACTGGTCAATTTGTGATGAAAGTCGTTTTTGCGATAGCGGTTATGCAATAATTTTTTTTAACTAATTGTAGATATATGTCGAAGTTGAGAGAGCTCGGCTGACTAGTCGTCTTGTCAAGAAACTAGAATCAGAAGGTAAACTTGATGAAGCAACGACAATGCTTTTAGAACTGCAAGTGGAGACTTATGGTTCTATGGAATTGAAAGAAAAGGCAAGTTTCTTTCTCTTAGATTAGAAGTTTGATTTTGGTCTTTTTTGTGGCATGTTCTTTCTTATCTTATTTGTATTTTTTTAGGTGGAATTCATCTTAGAGCAAATGCGTCTGTGCGTGTTGAAAAACGATTTTATTCGTGCATCAATTTTATGCAAAAAGATCTCCACTCGTTTTTTCGAAAACAAATCGGAAAAGGTAAATTTTTTTATCAGAACCACATATTGCATTTAACTTTTCTTGTCTATTTTGGTAACCTTTATTGTCTGTCTTTTCCAGAATGTAATATTTTGAGGTTTCATTTGTGTCATGAAATTATCAGATTTCAACCATTGAGCGTATTTAAGTCATCGTTATCAATGATCTAATCAACTGGAATGCTATTCTGCATAAATCTTTTTCAGATCGCTTTTCCGCAGTTGTGCATATTTTATTTTCACACCACATGTTTCTTCTTGTTTAAGAAGTTTAAGGTTTTATTTTCAGGTTCAAGAATTAAAACTGAAGTACTATGATCTAATGATCAAAATTGGGTTGCACGAAAGCGCTTATCTGGATGTATGCCGATATTATCGGGCAGTATTAGATTCACCTTGTGTGCAAGCTGATCAAGAAAAATCAAAACAGGTCAATTTTGGTCCCTTAAAACATTAGAAATGTACATTTTTTTTTGAAGTTGATAAACACTGTATTTTTTTTTCAGATTCTCAAATGTATTGTCTTGTATGTGTTGCTTTCTTCTCATAACAATGAACAGTGGGATTTATTACATCGTATTCATGAAGGACGACAGTTAGAACTTATTCCGGAATACAATTCATTTCTTGAACTGTTCATTAATCAGGAACTGATTTCATGGAAAGTGTGTGCGAAATCTATCTAAAAATAATGATAATAATTTTTTCATACTTTACTTATCGAAACTTTATTGAGAAAAAATATTGGTTTCTTTGCCAGATCCTGTATTTGTAATTGTAGATAAGGAAATTTCTCATTAGTTAAGAATTCTTTGTAGTATTTGCGAAATAATAAGTAGTAACGTTTGAATTTCGTACTATATTTTGTTACTGTAAATATTATCGATGTGTTAAATGCTTGCAGAAAACAATAAGCAAATATGAAAAGCTCTTACGTGATGGTATTTCGACAAGCAAAGCGACTGATGTCCTCGATCGTAGTGAAAATGGAAATAAGCGTTGGTCCGATTTGCATACGCGTGTTGGTGAACATGTGAGAGTCTTCTACTTTTTTATTTTTTTTTTCTTCAGTTATTTTGTTGAAATACCTTTTTATTATAGATAATAAATAGATCGGTATAAAGGGGTAATAATTGCGGATAGTCATGTTTGCAATAAAATTTTTACAAATTAGGTTTTACGACTCATTATTGGACTTATCATGCAGAAACTTTCATATTCACTGTTATTTACACGTCATTATTTTATCTGTTATTTGTCTTGATCGCAAAGAGATTGATCTAAATCCTTTTGAAACAAATTTTATAAAAATATTTTTTATTTTTATGTAAATTTTTCATTTGCTACAGAATATGCGTATGATTGCGAAATACTACACTAAAATAACATTTGCGCGTATGGCTGAATTACTCGATTATCCTATTGAGGTAAGTACATTATGCGAATAAAAAGTTTGTTTGATTCATTCACTACCAAACATTCTGTAACAATATAAAAATATGTGGTGTGGTATTGAAAAATATTACTGCTCTGTAATTTATAAATTTTAAAATGACATTGTATAAAGAAGTTTCGGCATACAGTTATGCATTTCGCTAATAAATTCGAATTAAATTTTGTGTGTTTTGAAATTTTTTCTATAATTTAAGGAAATGGAAGGTTTTTTATGTAATCTCATTGTTACGGGTGCAATTCCTGATGCAAAAATTCATCGTCCAGCAAAGGTTGTCAACCTTCGAGCTCGAAAAGCTAATATTGAGCAATTAGATCAATGGGCTAGTTCTGTACGAAAGCTTACTGATATACTTAATAAGGTTCCAGTTTTTTCTTTTTCTTTTTTTCTTTCTTTTTTGTATAATTACAATAGTCATAAACAAAATATTCTTTCTTTTTCCCTAACTCCCGTATTTATAAATACGAAAAAAATTGATTTTTTTGGCATCAGAAAATATATTTCACTTTGTGTGCTTAAATTTGAATTGAAGATTAAGTGTTAATTGTGCTAAACGCTATTTTTTTTTTTTTAAATTTTCTAGTTTTCAGGTGTCTCATTTGATTTCCAAAGAAGAAATGGTTCATCGACATTTAGAAGATAGTTCAGGATCAAGTGCTACTGTGCGTTAATTGATTTTTTGCATTGCTTGCTCACCTCCATCATGTCTTTGTTTTATATCTGTTTCCCAATAAGCAAAATTACGATGGTTGTAAGTAAAAAGCCGTTCGACGATATATTGTTTTAATGATAATGAATCATTCAGCGCAGTAAACTTTTTCTTGAATTAAAAATTGAGAAGTTGTACATTTTTATAATTATTTGTGCCGTATAATGCAATCAAATTATTATCACTCGAAAAATTAGCTGAAGAAATATTTCCATTTTCAATTTACATGTGGCTTGAAAATAGAACTGGAAAAAACATATTTATAAAATTATGATGAATTATATTTTGGCATATCACGTGGTATTTCTTCAAGTGTGTTGTCACGTATCACTGATTCCTTCTTTACAGAAGTAGATGATTCTTTCCCACTTTTCGACACACTTTTTTGAGTAAATTCCGCAATGAATGAGTTCACTAACTGGTCATTTACCTAAATGGTAATTTTAATGAGGATTGTACGTTATCGTTTTTCTTTTTTATTTCCTTTAAATTAAATAATGACTACACTACGGGACATATGGTCTTTTTTTTATCCAAGGTTAACTGCTATTAGAATTATTTGCAGTCATTACAAAATTATTGCAAATGTTTGTTGTACAAAGATGTCTAGTCAATTATACAATATGGCTAGCTTTCGTTCAGTCCATTAAATTGATATGTGATAGAGTGCAAAAAAAAAAAAAAAAATTAAAATAAAAAACTTTCGTTCTTTGCAATGAAAGGAATTCTGCTGTATTCTTACTTCGTTTTGTTTTAGAATTTTCTTTTCGTTGTGGTTCACTTTCCTAAAATATTCAAAAAAAAAAAAAAAAATTGTAGCTGATATTTCTACTTCTCCAATTTTCAAACAAAACAAAAAAGTTATATTAAAAATAAATCTAAAATTGAATAAATTCACTTTAGTTTTTGTTCATTGTTATCACATTTTTCATTGGATCTACTTTTTTGCATTCCATTAGTTGCTAATTTTGTAATGGATTTTTCCCTCTTCTTCATCTCATTATCATCATCAGCATCATGCTTAAATCATTTAATTAAATGATCTTCTGCTTTTTTTTTTTTTTTTAATAAATTTTAGACATTTTATTTTTTAAATGTTATTATTTAAATTAATTGTACATATCAAATCAATTTTAACTCTATAAAAAACTGAAGTTTATTTCTTGCTTGCAAAAAAAAAAAAAAAAAAAAAACGAATAATTCTCGTGATATTCAAAATTATATTGCATAAGTAATCAATTATTTACAATATCAATGATTGATTACTTACGCAAAATAATTTCACTGCTTGTTTTCAAGGTGTTCAGTGATTTAATATAAATTAACTGATTGGTAATATGAAATAGTTGTATAATTTCCAAATTTTACACACGACAACTACTTGGTGAAGTATTAAAGAGTAGATCGAATGATTGATTGATTGACTGATGATAATGAAATGATTATATAATTTCCAATTAAGTATTTCAATTTGCAATATATTCAAATTAATTAGCAATTGTAGTATGAAAAAAAGTATAGAATAATTTATTGTATATGGCTAACAAAATAAGAATGTTTTGTTTACAAATGACAACTAATAGATAAACTGTTAAATAATGATTGATTAATTTATTAAATGATTAACTGATCAGTACTGTAAAATGATAAATGATAAAGTTTGCTTGTGTAAATAATTATTTACAAAGCAAAATAAGAAATTAAGTGGTAAGTTACCTATGAATGATTATTACTTTCTGATAAATTTCATTTACTAATTAATAGTTTTAATCCATTTGCATTGATAATTATTTAAAATATTTAAAAAGTAAATAATAATATATAACCTTTCGTGAGTTTATCTTTTTATCTTTCTCATCCTTTGATATTTTAATATTTTCAATTGAAATTTTCCTCTCATCATTGCATGTCTTCGACACATCCCATTGTGTTGTTTCTTTTGTATGTAAACACATCTACGTAATTTATATGTGTGTTTGTGTTTGTGTTTTTTTTTTTTTTTTTTAATTTTTTAAATTGAAATGTTTAATAATTACAATTTTTTTTTTATAACTTTGCCTTTTACTAATTAGATTTGCTATAAATATTTTTAATTTAATTTAAGTTTATTAAAAAAATCATTGAAAAAGTAAGTTTACTTATTTATTAATTTTTTTTTTTTTTACTTTCAATAGTACTTTCATTATATTGCTATAAAATTTATTGTAAGTTTTATAAAAAAATTTTTTTTTCCTTTTTCAGCTAAATTGATTAGATGAAAAGGAAATGTTTATTTGTTATTCAATTTGTGAGTAATGAAAAAATGAGCAAAATAATAAATAATTCACTTATGAAACAACCAACCGATATCATTTGAATTTTAAAAAAAAAGTAATTCAGAAATTTTGATATCAGTTGAATTTAAAAAAAAAAAAAATTCGGAAATTATATGTGTTTATTTATACTTTCAATTTCTTCTTCTGTTTTTTTTTTTTTTTTTTGAAAAAAAAAACTATTTGTTTTTGAACCATTGATAAGACAGGGCACTTGTTAACAGTGCATTTTATCAGTATGTTTTTTTTTTTTTTCTTTTTTTTTCCACGCCATCGTTTTTTTTTATTAGTCAGTGAAATTAACAGTATTAATTGATAATTAAAACTGATAATTTGAGTATTTTTTGATATAATGATGTATAATATGCTTAATATCTTTAAAAGCAATTGTAAAAACAATTTTTTTTTTCTTTCATTTTAATCTTTTACATACAAAAAATTTGTGATCACAAAAAATAAAATTTATTTTAGTGTGACGTATTTTATTTCTGATAACAAAATCTGGTAAAAATTGTTGATTAAAGAATGATAAGCAAAAATTTTTTGAATGAAATATTGTTATTTAATATTAAAAAAAAGTTATACTACAAAAAAAAAAAAAAAGTATAAAAAAAACGAAAAAAAGAAAAATTGAAAACTGAAATAAAATTTATTTTTTGATAAATTGAAATGAATTTTTTTCGTTCCATAAAAAAATTATACTTATTTAATATTATTTGAAAAAAATTTCCTCCATAACTGATGGATACTTTTATGAATTGTTATTGCAATTAAATTGTCTGATTTTAAAATAAAAAATGAAATATTGAAGCTATTCGCCTCATGTGCAATCATTTATGATAACAAATTAAATTCAATTTAAATTTTTGTCTTTAAATGCTTTTTTTTTTAATTTATACACTTCATTGTTAAATTTAATTTTTAGGTATTCCATTTCAATTAAAACTGAAGCTAACTTTCATTATAAATACATTGTATGTTTATCTACAATACTATCCTAAAATTGATAATATGATTTGATTTAATAGAAAATAATGATTATATTTGCTGTGAACAATTTTCTTTTTTAACTTTTCTTTTTTGTTTTTTTTTTTAAATAGTAGTTGTTAGCATTCTTTAAAGATTTCCTTCGCTTTTTCTTCTTTATTTTCCTTTCATTTTTTTACGCAGCTGTTTTATAAATTAAATACATAAAATGCATTTTTGTTGATTTTTGCAGGTGCATTCTTAAAACGCTTTTTCCTCTTTATTTTCTCATTTTTTCTTTGATTTGTAAAAAAAAAAAAAAAGAAAGAAAAAATTAATTTTATTAAAGAAAAATTTTTCGCATAAAATTTACAAATATATACTAATATTTTAATGATAATAATGACCATATTGCTAAATATGAAATAATGGTATCACAATAAAAATTTCAAATCAATCATTTTTTTAATTTAAATTTCATCGAATAAAACAAAATGATGAAAAAGAGGGAGAGAGAGAGAGAGAGAGAGAGAGGCAAAGATTAAAATTAATAAAACTTTTCAAAATGACTAAAAGAAAAAAGGAAAGAAAACAACAATAGCTAAAAAAGATAATGTAAATAATATATATTTCATGGCGAGACTAAAAGTGTATTTCTTATAAAAAATCAGTCAAATTTTTTTTTTTTTTTCTGGCAGTGGGACAATTTTTTTTTTTTTAAATTTAAAATACTATTGAAATAGAAAAGAGTGATAGCACTAAAAATATTGTAAACAATATGATTATATGTAGCACATCGATGCTTATAACATTTCATTCACCAATTTTTTTCACTTTTTTTTTTAAAAAAAAATATTTGTATGTTATGCAATTTAAAGCTATGAAAAATGATCTCAAATATTTATATAATGGAAGTTATTTTTTCCTCATTTTTTAACTATGAGTTAACAAAGGAAAAAAAAAACAAAGTTATGAATTAAAATTTTTTTTTGAAAGAAGCAGGAAAAAAGAAACAAAAAACAAAAAAAAAAAAAGGAGATTAAATGATTTTATATTAAATTTGAAAATACTTATAATTTATTAAATTACAAATGAATATATTTAATTCATAAAATACAATTGAAATAAAAGTAAAAAAGTTTTTTTCTTCCAGTAAAATGAAATTAAAATAAGTAACACTTATTTATAAATTCTTTTTTTTTAAGAAGAGAAAATCTATATAATAAAATAAGTATTTTAGTATTTTTAATCGATAATAATCAATTACATTATTTAATTTCTTCTTTTTTTCTGAATAATCGATGTTTTCTTTAAGAAAATGCATAAATTTTTTTCAGATATTTTAATTAAAAATGTATAAATTCCATGAATGAATGAATAAATAAGAGGAATAAATTATTGAATGTATTTATTTCATTATATTATTTATCACAATCCGAAATTAGATTTTGTGCGGAGATAATTGAAAAGATTTGATAGTAGGAGCGGGGAGTGATAAGAATTACGATGTATAGCGATTGGAGAATAGAGAGGAGTGATAAGAATTGCGATGTATAGCGATTGGAGAATAGAGAGGAGTGATAAGAATTGCGATGTATAACGATTGGAGAATAGAGAGGAGTGATAAGAATTGCGATGTATAGCGATTGGAGAATAGAGAGGAGTGATAAGAATTGCGATGTATAGCGATTGGAGAATAGAGAGGAGTGATAAGAATTGCGATGTATAGCGATTGGAGAATAGAGAGGAGTGATAAGAATTGCGATGTATAGCGATTGGAGAATAGAGAGGAGTGATAAGAATTGCGATGTATAACGATTGGAGAATAGAGAGGAGTGATAAGAATTGCGATGTATAGCGATTGGAGAATAGAGAGGAGTGATAAGAATTGCGATGTATAGCGATTGGAGAATAGAGAGGAGTGATAAGAATTGCGATGTATAGCGATTGGAGAATAGAGAGGAGTGATAAGAATTGCGATGTATAGCGATTGGAGAAGTATTATATTCACTGAGTCATCATTACATTATTATTTCATTCATATGTTTTATCAATGTTCCATTTTTAATCAATAAAATAGAAAAAAACAGCAAATAATTACTTATAATTTATTAGCTTTTGCTTTCATATTTTTATCTAAAAATTTAAAAGTGTTTCTGATAAAATTTAACTAATATTATCAAAAAAAAAAAAAACGATATAAAGAAAATGATTTGCAATTATTTCTTTTTTGATTGGTTTTTTTTTTTTTACTTTTTTCTAAAAAAATTCAAAAAATAAACTATTTGAAACTATGTTTTTTGCAGAATGTGAAAAAGTTATAAAATATAATTGTTTCACATTTTGTAGTAATATATTCTTAATTAAACTTTTTTGATTTCATATTAAAAAAAAAAATTTTCTTCAACAATGATAATAAATGATAATGGCTTTGAGTTGTCGTTGACGGATGTCATAAATGTTTAATGGGACCAAAAAAAAAGCAATGAGTGAATGAATGATATGATATGATGACGAGAACCTTATCAGTGTTTTTCAATCTATTGTTGTTTTCTTTTTTTTTTTTGCTTTCCCTCTTCGCCACTTATCATTTATCATTAGCTTTAATCTAAAATAAAATTAATCATTTAGGAAAAACTTATAAAAAACTTTTGAAAAATTAAAAATTACTTTTTTTTTTTCTTACACTCATAGTAATATTAATTTATTATTTGTTAATTTTTTCTTTTTCCTTATGATTGTTAGTGAGATAAAAAAGAAAGAAAATTTTTTTCATTCTCATCTTAATCTAATAATGTTTTTGAAAATTTTTTCCAATTAAAAAATTATTTATTGTTGATTTGATAAAATAAGAATAAAATTTTAACATTCAACAAAAACAGAAAAAAGTATGAAGAAGAGAATGCTGAGAAAATGCATTAAATGATATTAGAAATGATGAAAAATCGAAGCAGAAATAGTTTGAATGAAATTAGAAGCGCAAATATCTCATAAAAATTTACATAAAAGAAAAAAATGAAACTGTTAACTTTAATTCTGGAATAATTATACAAAAGTAAATAGTTACTAGTAAGTTTTTGTATTAAAAAACATTAATAATATAAAAAAGAAAATTTGAAAAAAAAAAAAAAGAAAAACGAATATGCAAAAAATACAAACTTTTGCAAAAATGTAATGCATTTCATTTTTAATTAAATTTTTTTTTTTTTTTTTTTGTATTAAAAAACAGAAAATGAACTTTTCTGTGAAAAAAAAAATCAAAACTGAATTTGACTAAATTGTACTTTATACTTAAAAAAAGAAAAGTGAATTTTCCATATTTTTTTTTTTATGATACAGATTTATTATTTTTATGATTTCATTGATTTCATCTAAGAAAAGTGAATTTCCATATTTTTTTTTTTATGATACAGAATTTTTATGATTTCATTGATTTCATTTTTTCTTTTTTTTTTTTTTGTAATTTTTCATTTTTATGATTGGATTGATCTCATTTTCTTTGCCTTTTTTTTTTTTTTTAATTTTCGTTTTATTTTATTTTTGTTCTAGCTTTAGTTTTTATTAGCGTCATTAATTTTAATCTTGCACTTTTTCTAATCCAATGCATTTTCCATCTTATTTCATTAGTGAAAATAAAAAAAGAAAAAGGAAAGCTAAATACTATAGCTGAAGATTTA